CGGCCAACGCCTCTTCGTCCTTGCTATGGCATGGAGGTATTGGAGGTCGGAGGGCGCTGGAACGCCGACTCGCAGGCGCTTGTCCGACAGTTCGTCCGGGTACGATCTTTCCGTGCGCCGCCGGCGCTCCGAGCTGCCTCCACTGCCTGGACGCGCAGGTGGTGGGGAATGCTGTGAGGCGCGGTGCAGCACGGCGGCACGGCCCTGGGAGCACCGGTTTCCAGAGGCGCCGCGGCGCGAAGTGCGATCCCGCATTGGACCACGTGTTGGCGCTCGCTGAGCCAGCTCCGCCTCTCGTTGCGCTAAGCGCGGGACACGTCCATCACGATGTGCCGCACGACCCATCACACAACTCCGCACAGAATGCCTTCCGCGCCGTGTTTGAGCGCCGTCAGTGTGCAGACAATTTGCCGCTTTTGTGACGCAATCCTTTTCCCGTTATGTGCCCCAGATCCCATGTAGTATACATATAGTCACGCACAGCGTGTTTTCACTGCAGCCAAAACTGCCATTACATAGTGTGTGCTGAGTGCTTCCGCCCTTCCGGACGGTCTGCCCACGTCAATGCCGCTCACCAGCGCTGTGCTAGTGAGCCACCTGGCGTACAGTCCGCCGTCGAGCCGACCGTTTTGCCAAACACATTGACCTATGGCCGCATACAGTTCACACGTTTTCTTGACATGTCGCTGGAATCGTTCGTTGAACGAGTCAACCGCTTAGTGTCGGAGGGATGTTTCAACAGTATTGCTGTGCCACAAGTACGTATTGAAGGCACAACCGCCTGGGGAGCATGGCTCCATATCAATCGTCGTCACAGTGCAGTTGGACGTCGTCCGCAGTTGTTATGCGGGGTGTTATTTGATGCTGCAAACCACACGCTTACTTTTCATGGTGACGCCAAAGCCGCTAGTCAACATTTGCTGCCCGTGTTTGCGCCGTGGACCTCTGAGCACACGTTGTCTGCCACAGCGGCTCCGCAGCATGCGCAGCCTCCCTTCGAATCTGTTTCGCATCCCGATTCGGATTCCTGCAATTCTCGCTCCGACAGCGCATGTGCAGCTGAGGGTGCCGAACTACATCAGTCCTATGCAAATGATGCACGCTGCACTGTTCTGCCTGCTCAGCCGCCTGCAGCAAACGGTCCCAGCACCACTGATGCTCAGGCAATTGAAGTAGCCCGACTTCGTGCACAAATGTCGCAATTCGACATCACGTTGACGAATTTGTTGCATCTCGTCAACACCCCGTTGTCCCACTCTGCATTCCCCCCCGTTGCAGCTTTGCCCACACCGCCGCCAAGACCTTCCCGTGTGTTACCCGCTACCCGCACGCCTCCCCCTCCACCCCCGCTCCCTCCTGCTCCTTGCTCCGTTTCCCATCCGGCCTTGGATCTCCCTCCCCCTCCTCCTGTGCCCACAGCTTTGCCGGCTCATTCTGCCCGTGTGCGTGGCAGACGTCGTCAAAATTGTGTTGAGCCATCGGCTTCGTGTCGGAGTTGCGGAAACCCAGCCCTTGCCAATGCGTTGATGGTGCTTGTTGGGCTTGCTGCTCCAACCCTCGTTGTTCCCACCATTGCAATCTTCCAGCCCGCCCCAGTTGTGCTCGCATCCCGCCGCCGCCGCCACCACCGCCGCCACCCAGGAACCCCTCCCGTCAGCAGACCCCTCGAGCAAATGCTCATCATGGTCAGCCTGGGCAAAGCCGGCCCGGCAGCACCTTGTCAGCTGGCGTTGCTAAACCAAGGTCTCACGACACGAGACCACCTTGGCATCGTCGCTCGGGAAACTCTCGGGGCGCTCGGCAGTAGGCGGATCCGATGCGCCCAATCAATGCCGCCTGGCTGTGTTCAATTGTAACAGGTTGTGGTCGACTTCTGGGCGGCTGCATTGTGCGTTTCAGGGCTTCACGCAGTTTCTGGCATCGCAGCGTTGCAACATCGCTTTACTGCAAGAGCCGTTTTGTCCCGCGAATACAGACCTTCTTAATGAGCAGCCGCAGCCGTTCGTTTGTAATGGTCCTAGTGGTTCTCGTGGTCGTGATGTTGGTTTCGTTTGTCACAACATTTTGCAGCATCTACTCGAGCCAATCGCTTCAGTGCCAGACCAAACCGACATCCAGTGGCGCATCTTGAGTCAAGCGGATGGGTTATCCAGCACGGCAGTGGCCTCGTTTGCGCCGCATGTATGCTGCACGGAGCTCGTGCGAGTAGACTTTTGGCAGCGGTTGTTTGCATCAACCCAAGCAATCATTCAAGCCTTACCTGGTATTCCCATATTGATGGCACGTGACAGCAACGTTTGGTATCCAGAACTCGTTGAAAACCGCATGCCGAGGGATGCAAATCGTCCTTGTAACGAACACGTCCATGAATTGCTTATGCTTTTGGTTTAGTGTTGTGCAACCCCGTGAGTGCCCCAACCCAACGCCATGGAGCAGCATTAGACCTCATCTTTGCCACCCCGAACACGGTGACATCGGTCGAAGTTTACAATGGTCAACACCGCTTATGTCCAAATGTCTCCGCCTGCTGCCCGTTGCTGGGTAGTGACCACTTCGCCTTAACAGTCACTCTGCAACAAAAATTGCCTGCCTTGCTGCCTGAGCCTCAAAAGGTTCCGCGCGTTCGTGATTGGCACCTCTTGCTGCGACAGAGACAAGCCTACATCCAAGAGTGGATGACGCAAGTTCGTGTTGCTTTACAGCACCTCCCCCAGCACATTAGCCCGGTTGACGCCCGGTTGAAGTTAGACGAACTGTACGAGTTGCTGTTGCGCGCAGTGTGGGATGGTGATAGCTCGTTGCATCATTTTCTCGTGACCACAGCAGCCGGAGCGGTGGAATGACAGCTGCACGGATGCCCTGCTTGCACGCAATGCAGCCTGGCGTGCGCGTCGACGTGTTTTCACGCTGGCCACAGACGCCGCTTTCAAGTCTGCCCGCAACCAGTTTCACCGAACTGTTCGTTCTGCAAAGCATTCGTATTGGACCAAGTGGTTAGCCGACGCTCAGCATCTCACATCCCGTCGCCCGCGCGATGCTGCACGCGCCGTGCGGCGCAGATTTCACCGCAACTCCGCCCGTGTAGCCCGTAATTTATGCCCCGATCCCCATGCCACACAAGAGCAGCGACATGCTTGCTTAAATGAGTGGCGTGACCACTTTCGGCAAGCCGCTTTTCCTGACCAGGCAGGCATTCTGTGTTGTTGACCTGTCGTGGTGGACGGAAGCAATCCTGCAATTCCTTGAACTTTGTCGTGCGTGTTGTGCTGTCCCGTCATTGTGGAAGCATGGGGTCGTGATCCCTGTTCCCAAAGCGGCTGCAAGCAGCAATGAACATGACGGTTATCGGCCGATTACTAACATGTTGCTTCGCGAAAATTATGCAGAGGATAGTGTTGAATAGAATTCACTCCTTGGTCGACCCGTGCCTTGACGAGTGCCAGGCTGGATTTCGTTGGGGGTGCGACATTCAAACGTATTCACTCCGTGAAACACTGCGCTTGCGGCAAAACACCCGCACGTACTGTGCTTTCCTAGACATACGGAAAGCCTTTGACGTTACGTGGCGTGACGGTGCCATGTGGCGCCTTCACCGTGCAGGGGTCCAGGGCGGTTTGTGGCATCTGATTGATGACTTGGTCTGCTACCGAACAGCCGCCGTGCGCATGTCTGAATGCACTTCAGACCTTTGGGAAGTTGAAAACGGTATTGGTCAAGGTGCGGTATTAATCGGTTTCTTGTTTAACATCTTGGTTAACGGCCTTGCATCCAAAATCAAACGTGCCTGTAATAACGTTTTGGTTCTAATGTATGCGGACGATGTTGCAATCTTGTGCAGCGATCCCGCGGACTTACAAAAAAGCCTTGGATGCAGCAACTGCTTGGGCACGCGTTTCAATTTTGCTGTGGGCCCTCACAAGACAGCCGTTATGTGCTTCGTTCCAGGCCGTTCCCGGTGCCGTGACATGAACTTCCACGTAAATGGACAACTAGTTCCCGTGGTACACGTACCTTGGCGTTGTTTTTCATGATAGCTTGATTTGGCGTCTTCACATTGATCATGTCCTAGCACGTGGTGAGCGCAGGATGGCTGCATGCCTTTCCAGATCACTTGCCAGTGCAGTTTCTCCAAAAGCTATTCCGTGCATATGTCCAACCGTCAGTTTGCTTCGGCCTTGAACTCGTGCCCGATTTCCTTCAGCTACAGCGTGTGTGCATGCTTTAATGGAGTCGAACGTGGCAGCCTTTTTTCCTCGAGGGGATGTGGTTGCAGGCACTCCTTAGCAACCTCGTGACCCTTACTCAGGTTTGCCCTCGCACTTCGTTTGCGGAGACTGCTCTTCTTTGCTTGGGCTGTTGGTTTGTCGGTTTCCTTTCCGGGGGTGCCTTAGCGGTGTTCATCCTTTCCACGAGGTGCCGGCAGGTGTGTTGGGTTCTTCTGCGGGAGTGCCTTGTAACGCCACCTGTGCTCACCCCAGAGGAGAGGATAGCCGCCTATCGCCGCCAGTAGCTGTGCATGAGCTCTCGGGCTGCCAAGGCTAAGGCTTCGTCACCCGAGGTTCGCGTGGTGGTGGAGGTGAGCATCGCTGCTCCCGCACCCCCCACCCCAGCCGGTGGTGCTACAGAGTGGGAGCTAGTGGAGCCGACCTTAAGGACACTATCTGCTGCTGAGTGTGCGCGCTTGGCTTCGAGGTTGTCGTCGCGGAGCGGTCTGTCAGCCAGGGCCAGAGTGCAAGCTGCTTTCGAGGCCGGGGTCCGGAGCCAGGAGCTACTATCGGAGGGAAGGGAACCTGAGGGCCATCCTTCAACTGGCTTGCAAAACACTTGCTGGGCAGTGGTTCACTCGTCTGAGCGGGTGTGGTTCGCAACAAAGCGAAGCACCGCGGAGAAGTTGCTGAAGAAGGAGCGTGAGTCGTGGCTGCTAGGATTCTCTTCTCAAACGGAGTTGGAAGCTTGGTGCCGTGGCTTGGGATTGGACGGCTTGCCCGAGCGTAGGTGAAATGCCTATGCGTGTGCTGGGTGTTCGAAAAGCTGCGGCCTTGGCCTTGGCTGGGGAGGCAGACGCAGAATGGCTAGTCTTGCGCATGGAGGGTCGCAGTGTGGCGGTCATGCCTGTGCTCCGGCGTCCCGGCGGCCTGTTGCTGGCGGCGGCGAGGCACGCCTTCACTTCGGCAGAGATCGAGAGCAAGAAGCTAGAGGGTGTGACCGAAGATCTGGGCCTAGTGGGTCAGGTGGAGGTGCCGGGCACTTTAGTCGATGGCTCGATGGCCGAGGTTCCTTTGTTACTTTTCGACTGGCCCTCGGCCCTCTACAAGTTCCTTCGGGTCGTGACGGGCGACTCTTGGCCACCCAACCTGATCCGGCCTCGACATGGCGAGGTCACCGACCTCACACTGGACATGGACAGCCTGTGCGATACGGCTCGCAGCTGGGTGGAGGATGGCGAGATGAGCCTGTCAGAGGCTTACCTGACGGTGTTGGAGGGCCGGGCCCCTACTGCGGAACCGGCGGAGATGCCTCCAGGAGGCTTCCCGGCCGATTTGATGAATCAGCTTATGGATCGCATGGAGCAGACGGCAGCGGCGGTGGCTGGCATCAAGGACGACCTGGAGAATGTCAAGCAGGCAGCATCCTCATCGCAGCAGCCTCCGAGAGCTATTGGGCCAGCATTGGCGCGAGCAAAAGCTTTGGTTGGACCTGCTCCTCGGACCACTGCCTTACCCACCATGGATCGCCAGGAGCCTGCAATTCCGGGGGCCGGTACCGGGCTCGAGGCCGAAGAGGAGGACGCCGGCGAGCTGGGCACCGAGGATCTCATGCGGCTGGCTTTGGTGAACTTGTTAAACAAGGAGACCAAAGGCAAGAAGAAAAGCTCGCGAACGGGATTGCCGTTGACTCAGTCGGCTTCCGAATCCGAGGAGGAGGACCCGCTTCGGAGACTTTCAGGCGCAAAAGGCACCATGTTAGTGGAGAGATTGCGGGCAGCAATGGAAGCCGACCCAGCTGCGTACTCGAATGCCATCGAGAACCTTGCGGCGCAAGTGCTGGGCGAATCCGCCCCGAACCAGATGACCCTGGAAAGGTACGTGCGCGAAGAACTTCCCATGGGCAACGAGCGCAGTCTTGGGTTCGCGGCTTGGATCATGGTACGGGCCCTGACGTGCATGAAGTCGGGGCATTGGGAGAAAGGCCGGCTGGTTCTCACTTTAGGCCTGGCGGCGATCGAGCAATATCGTCTGGACAACAACTGGACAGCGGCCTGGCGCTTGACCCAGCTGAGCCAGCCGCCCTTCTCGGAATGGAGGTCTCGCGAGCCGTACATGGGCCAGCTGCGTGCCGACCACGCGCACAGCCGGTTGGTCCATCCTACGTGGGCTGCTGCGGTGGTCGCTCGGTTGAAGGACGAGGAGGTCCTGGTGAAGAGGAGATACAAACCCGAGGGAGGTCGCCCCGACGACCGCCCTCCTCGAGGAAGAGGCCGAGGCCGCGGAGCCGGGGCAGACGCGGCTCCATCTTAACTGAGCAGCAGGATGCGATGGCGCTCCCTGCTTGGTGGCACTTACCTGCGCACTTGTATAGGCTTTTGCGTGCAGGCCCTAGTCAATATTCTGCCTTTTTGCGTAGTACTTCCCGTCGGGGTTGCCAGTCGGCCTTGCAATCCGGAGAGCTTTTGCCTTGTCCTCTGCCGTATGCCTGGAATGAGCAAAGTTGGTTCAGTCCTGGGAGTTCTAGGCGACGCCATCGTAGATGGGTTGAGCGCCGAGCCTTTGATATTTTAGTTAATCTTGCTGTCTGCTCTCTCAACTTTTGCGTGTTAGGGTGCCCTTCGCGCTGTCCACCAGAAGGTTTGCGGGGGCCCCTGTCCGAAGAGCAGACACGGATGATCGCAGGCATACGGGAGAGGATGCGCTCGATGTGCCGCTTGATCGGGGACATTTCGGTTGAGTGCGGCACTAAAATTCAGGGTGTTAGTGAGGAGTTGAGGGGTTTGGAAGTTGAGGTTGATGGTTTGGCTGAGTTGGTCTATGGGGGTGCTAGGGTTAGTGTGGGTAGCCCGGGGAGTGGTGCCACATCACAGGTTGTCCCCACGCGAGCTGCTCGGGTGGCGTTTCCCGATCAACTCCGCGGCTTTGATCCGGGTCCATACCTTAGTAGCACTTACCGCTTAGCCTTCGAGCACCCCAATTCATTGCTTGTTGAGCGGGACTTGGGGTCACAGCCGATGCCTATAACCACGAGCCACACACAGCTGTGGCAGCTATTATGGAGGTGGGACAAGGTGGGTCGTTTGACGCTGGCCTTAGAGAGTGAGTGCAACCCTCTTCACGTTTGCAACCTATTTTGTCTTCAGAAGCCTGACGGAGAATTGCGCCAAATCATAGACCGCCGCCCCCGAAACGCTGCCGAGCGGGGCCCTCCAGCAGACGCTCCAAAGATGGGACACCCAAGCTCTTTTTTGGGTTTGGTGGTCCCGGTTAAGGGTTGCCTACGAGGTTGCATGGACGATCTACGTAATTTCTACCATGAATTTTCGGTCTCCCTGGAGAGAGCGCTAAGCACTGCTGTGGGTCCGCTGTGGCGCGTCCGCGACTTTCAAGGGTCTGCTGCGCTTGAAGGACTCCGACGGAGGCATCCCACCCTCCATATACATCCGGGAATGAGGATACGAGCATGTTTCTCAGGCTTATCAATGGGGGATAGTTGGGCTCCTTGTTTAGCTCAGGCTAGTCACGAGGGGGTTCTTAAGGCCTTTGATGCATTGCGACCTGAGGAACATTTAGTGCTTGGGCAGATGCTCCCCCGAGCGCCGCATGGGCACTACAGCGGTGTGTGCATTGACGATAGAGTGGGTATTCAGGTTTTCGATCATGCACTGCCTGCGGAGTTGCCATGCGATGCCCACATTCCAGCTCGAACTTCATTGGCACCTTGTGATACCAACACGAGGGGTGATGTACAATGCTCCTTGGGCCGCGACTTGGAGGCCTCCGCTGCAGCTGAGGCCGCGTATGAAGCCACGGGGCTACAGATTCATCCCAAGAAGAAAGTGCGGCGGGCTTCCGTGTTCAAGGCCTGGGGAGCCCAATTCGAAGGGGATCGAGCCCTCCTTGCCATTGATCGAACTCGTCTTGCGGCGTTGTGTTTATGTACGGCTAAAGCGGCTGCGGGAGGTGCCATCACCGAACGGCTACTTCAGAAACTTTTGGGTTTATGGGCTTTCGCTTTCCAGTTCAGGCGTCCCCTTTTCTCATTGTTCGAAGCCGTTTATAACATTGGGCACCCGGACGGGAACCCCGATGAAGCCTTCCGCATGCCAGCTGTCGTGCGTCAGGAGTTGCAACTTGCGGCATCTTTGGGGCTTTTAGCGTTCACCGATCTTAAAGCACAGGTTCATCCGACGGTGTATGCCACAGATGCTTCCCCCGAAGGTGCCGGTATAGTTGCTTGCCGCATCGGGGCTACTGCTTCTAAAGAGCTTTTTCGCAGGGCGGATGCTCGGGGCTTTCACACGCGGCTGTTGTCATCGATTGGAGCTTATCTTCATGAGCAGGGGTTGGATACTTCAGAGCCTGAATTCCTGATACAGCCGTCCGGTGAGTCCCCTGAGCAAGAGCCCGAAGTAACGATAGAGCCACCGGTATTTCCCTTTGAGAGCCTTCGTCCAAGTCAGATGGCCGGTCACATGCCCTTATGCTTACATGACGCGTTCTGCAGGTTATGTGCTGAGGCCACTCCACCCGCAGTCCCTCGCATGTTGTCTGTCCACTTTGACTTCGTCGAAGTTTATGCCGGTAGTGCAGTGTTGAGTGCAGCTTTTCGGGAAAGGGGGTTCAGGGTAGGCCCGCCTCTTGAACGTAAGCTAGGCTGGGATCTTGGCAATGGTGATCTGTTTTGTTTGATCCTAGGTCTATGTCGAGCTGGTAGGATTGGATTCGTGTGGTTGGGCCCGCCCTGCACCTCCTTGTCCTTAGCGCGCTACCCCCGTCTGAGGTCAAGTGTGGAACCACTGGGTACGGATCCGCTAGAGCATGCTACACTGGAGGGTAACTTTCATATGCACCAATCCTTAGCGCTTTTCGCGGCTCAGCTTTCAGTTGGGGCATTAGCGGTAATTGAGACTCCGTGGGGTGCATATTCTCGTAAGCTGCCTTGGTGGAAGCACTTGGCCTCGTGTTCTTTCGAGTTGCGACTAGATCAGTGCAGGTATGGCACCCCGTACCAAAAACCCACGGCCCTCCTGGCCTCGAAGCAGGCGTTCAAACGAGTGGCCAAAAAGTGTCGATGTCGCGAGCCTCATGTCCGCTTGGAAGGGTCGCGCACTTCTTGTGCCGCTCGCTATCCGGAGAGCCTGTGTGATGCTGTGGTTCAGTGTTTCCACATGTTTTGTAAGACGCACGCCAGTGCGTCAGGTGGACATGAGAAGTTGAAGGTAGTGAGCGCTCGGGACGCTCCAGAAGTTGAGCTAAGGGACCATCGTGGTGCCCAACGGTTCGTCAGTCATTTGTGGTCCACCCACCTTGCTGAGTCTCTTCCGTGGAAGGTAGTGAGAGCCTATCGTTTCCGGAAACCAAACCACATCAACATTCTGGAGTGTCACGCTCACAAAACCTTAATGCGCATGTCTCCGATGGATTGCCGTCTCGTCACTTTTCAAGACTCCATGGTGACGTTGGGTGCCACGGCCAAGGGCAGAAGTTCGAGTAAAGCTTTGAACAGAATTTTAAGGCAGGACATGTCTTTTCAATTAGCCAAGAACGTGTTCCCGGTTGGCATTCATAGTCCCACATGGGCGTTACGGGCCGACGATCCATCCCGTTCCCGCAGAGTGCGCGCGCCTAGATGCGCGCTGCCTGACTGGCTTTTGTGTGCAAGACGTGGAGACATCGTTTCAGCCCAGAACGCGCTTGATGAAGCTTCAGACACACCGCGGTCATGGGGGCGCTGGCTGCTCTTTGCCCAGGCGGCTCGCCTTGCTGCTTTGGGCGACTACGCTTCACTGCGTGATTGGGCCTCGGCCCTCGACGCAGACGCGCGACAGGGCGGACTTGGAACGAGGCCGTGTGACGCCAGTCACGGCACAGTTGAGGAACCAGCTGCTAGAGAAGTTTGCCGAGTGGTGGAGCAAGGAAGGGGTGTCCGAGATACCTCTGGAAAGACTTGCCAGGACAGATCCCATTCAGTTCACACTTCATCTGGAAGAATACGGGCGGGTCCTCTACGAGCAAGGGGAAACTCGCCGGAACTTTGCAGAGACAGTGAATGTCATGAACCAGAGGTACCCTTTCCTCAAGAACTTTATGGCTGGGCCCTGGGGACTGCTGACTACGTGGGAACTTCTGAACCCAGGCAAGGTTCATCCACCGCTTCTGAAAGCACTGGTCACTACAGCTCTAGCTTGGCAGTGGATGCGATTCGCGTTGATGCTCTTGCTGGGCTACTTCGCTATGTTGAGGCCTTGCGAGATGTTTGGTCTGCGAGTCGAGGATTGCATTCTGGCAGCGGACAGCGGATGCGATCATGTGATCTTCCTCAGGCTGGAGCTAGTGAAAACTCGCACCAGGGGCGCTCGGCGCCAGAGTGTGCAGCTGGAAGAGCCGTGTGCTGTGCAGTTCCTCCAAAAGTGTTTGAAAGTTATGGCACCTGGCGAGAAGCTCTGGCCTTACTCAGCCAACCTCTTTCGAGTGCGCCTGCGCCAAACTCTGCAGGCCACCGTGGGGCAAAGTGACCTGCCTGCCCAGCTCGCTGCGAGCAGGCGGTGCCACGTACTTTTTCCGCTTATGGAACGAAGATCTTCTTCGCCTGCAGTGGCGGGGCCGATGGCTGCACATGAAGACCCTAGCCCATTATGTGCAGGAGCTTGGGTGTGTAAACGTTCTTCAAGCCATCCGTCCAGCCGCCAGGCGCAAAATGCATCAATTAACTGAATTATTTGAGTCGGCTTGCCAAGAAGCGACGCCGGAGGTGGACCTAGTCACAGAGACAGCGCGTCTCCTAAACAAGGTCCGGCGGACGCAACCCGCCGCACGTGCTCAGCGCAGCTAGTGTTGGTTGTACACTCTGTAGGCCCCCCCGCCCTCCCGAATGTAACGTACTGGGGTCTGAAGGGTCTGAAGGGTCCTGTAAGTGACCTGCTTCTCGAAGCTGTGCTGCAAGAGCAACTTGTGTGGGATTGCGAAGGCAGAAAAGAAGGATTTGCCACCGTTTGCCACCGTGCTGACGAATGTTCAAGCATGTCAATGCACGCATGTTTCAATGGGGCCGTCGCCTGCTGATGTGGCCCCGAGGGGCACCGACTGCTGCGACACAGGGGCAGTTAGGTTGGCTAGACTTGTCATCGGCCCGCTTGTTGCAGGCGGCTGGCCTGCTAGCACGCTTGTTGTCCTTGCCATATACTTGTCTCGCTGCCCGCATTGCTCGGGACGCCTGTGCTGAACAGACGTCCTGGGTAAATGTTGTGCTGGAGCTTGCCCGTATTGGTGTAGCTCTCCCTTCAAGTTGGGGCATCGTCACCGGTGCACCCCAGACGGTTGTGAAGTCTTGGTTGCGTCATGTACGCGATGCCGTATCTCAGCATTCCAACTTGATTTATTCAAGCCTTTTGCAATGCACTGACTCCCTGGGGTGCTACGCTCGATGGCAGAGACGACCGCACCTGCACAGGGTCGTTTACAGGCATGCTTGCCCCACGGCTGCCAAATTCTGGGGTCTAGCGCGGTGTGGACATCATGACTTTTTGGACGGTCGGTCTGCGCGTCATCGCAACGGCATGGTACTGCACTCATGCCGGTTTTGCGCCAATGGCCGTGACTCTCTGTCTCATGCACTCTTGGATTGTGTTGCCTATTCCCAACAACGCCGCCGCTGGCGACAGCAAACTCGGAGATCAAACATGCTGAGCTTGGAAACACTCTTCAGCACAGACCGAGCCATAAACACTGCACGTGGCATCTTGCGCAATGTCGTGTTTGTTGCCACCATCTGCCGCGATGCGTCGGTGTGTGAAATATGAACGTGGATCCCAGATCCACTCTCTGACTGAGTGGGGCATTGATGATATTGATATTGTATTTAAATGTTTTGCTCCCCCCTTGTTTGTACCTGTGTGTTTGTGTGTGTGTGTGTTGGTTCTTGTTTTGCATATTATGGCATGTTGAAACTATGATCATGACGATGGTTTCACTTCTGACTGTGTCTCACGGTCGTTCAGGGACATCTCTCTCACTGATCCATGAGAGCAAGACACAAGTCAAAAGCATGACGATTCAAGGATGCGTCGTGTGCAAGGCACAAACCAAATATACCGACGCAAGCGGCACCAATGCTTGATGACCGGAGATGTTTCACTTTTTGTCACGCACACTTTTTTCCCGACCAGCACGAGCGAGATCCCAGTGCACCTGCAGTCTACGTGGCGGCGGCAGCCCTCTGCGAGAGCCGGCTGGGGGCAGGGGCGTGCAGCCAGCGTTCGTCATTGTAGGATTTCATGCAGAGCCGGCTCGCCGGCAGCAGACGCGGCGGTGTCGAGAGGGAGCTCCAGCAAGGAGCCGGCGACGACCCTCTGCGCTGCGATGATGCTGCTTCAGCGAGACACATAGGCCGAGCCTGAGGAAAGTTGCGGGCTCGGGACTCCAGCGACCGCCAACGTCGACAGCGAACATCAGCGAACAGAACGAGGTGGCAGCGCGGCGAGCGCGCAATCTCGGTGTACATGTCGCGACGCTTACGTTTCGTTGCGTGTTGTAGGGCGAGGCCGGGTTGACTATCGGCTTTGAGTTGTTTACTGCAGCTGTCACTACTACAGGTTCCTGACACCGTTTGTTCTTCCGTGGTGTTGGGATGTCGGGGCTAGGTTTCCTATCACGTCAATGTGGGGTGAATGCTACGTGCGTTGGCATGTTCATCTTGGATTCGATTCCAACCCCCTCTCGAGAAGCTGAAAGTGAAGCAGAGAAGACATCACTACACTGTATGTTCTCGGTCATGCAACGCAAAAACGGATTGTTCGCAGCGTGGTTGTTATTGTTCGCAGCCTCAGCTCCCACAGCGAGCAAAACAAAACCAAAGACGTTCAATAGACAAAAAAAGTTCAGCAGCGTTCGCCAGCCATGGTTGCAGATTCACATCATCGTGCACGAAGATTTGCTGGAGTGGCGTGCGTGGGCGGCCGTTTCCGCGCAGGTTGTTGCTGTGTGGTGGTGGTGGTGGTGTTTGCACTGGCGGGACGTGTCCATTCAGGTTTCACCGCCGGCCGCTCATCAGCACGATGATTTTCAGGATTCGAAGCAACCCTAGATCTTATAAACCGCAGTCTTGCAGCACATCCTTCACGGTGTTTCTCGTGGGCGACACGTGTATCTATCACCCACCGCCCGACACCTGAAATCGTAGGGTTGGATGTTTCCTTACGGCTGAAGGAAACATCTCTGGAGTCTCTAGAGATTTTTTTGGTGCCTGGGCCACAACAACCATCGACAATCTGACATTGAGCTTCAAGTTTTCAGCCAAGTGCAGCTGAGGACCACCGGCATCTTTCCGTGGTGCGGGATTCTATCGGTTTGGGCCAACTCCAACGGAATGTCGTTGTGTGGTTGAAACCAGTCCTGCGGAGCTCGACGCGGCAGTCAGGGCTGGAGGTGCGGTTGTCCTCGATGTCTACGCCGTATGGCACCCAGCACTCGCCTTTGGAATCACTTGTCGTTTTTGTTTAGCGTTGTTTTAGTTATCCTTTCTCAGCTATGGTTATGCGTGGGATAGCAGTAACGCAAGGTGTGGTCCTTGCAAACTTCTGGAACCAGCACTGCGCAAACTGGCCGGACGCTTTTCAAGCGGTGAATTTGATGAGCGTGGCTCCCCACGCCCCCAAGTCCTGCGCCTGGACAGTGACCGGCACACCACCAAGGCCGGCCGGCAGGCATTCATGACGGCGAATGTGCGTCAGATTGCATGAGGTGCAGCAGCAGCAGCATCAGCAGCATCAGCAGCAATTTTATGCATACTTGATTCAGGTTCATCGTGTTCGTGTTTCCGAACTTGTTGCTTGGTTCGAGCGGCTAGCCAGGTTTGCGTTAAAGCTTTCCTTCGAAGGCTTGACCCGTCCAGTTTCTGCTTCCAATCTGCCCCGGCATCCTCAAACACAAACCAGGAAGCAATATGCGTGCACGCCTCGGACGGACGCACTGCCGCACGCGAGCCCTTTCAAGTCGAGCTAAAAGCGTGGACCATTCCTGTGAGTACTGAAGTTCGGCCGGAACGATGATTTTTTGTGGCAGCTGAAGAAGAAACATAGCACTGATCACACAAGCTGTGCTGAGTGTTGCGAACGTTTTTAAAGCTTTGCTCGCGCATCTTCCCTCAAGTTTGCTTTCACTCTAACTGGAGGCCCATTCTGCGGCACCTGGCAAAGGTTTCATACCCCACCTAGCATTCTCATATTAATATTGCAAGCCAGACAGAACTTCTGACCTGCATCACCAGCTCCGAACATTGAACGTGAGCATGAGCTATTCATGCTTGGTCCTTGTCCTTTTCGATTTCCAGAACGCATGCACCCGTGTTCCTGACTGTGAACGCTTCTGCAGCCATGCTTCCCAACCTTGGTGGTCGCACGTACGCAAAGTGTACAAGTTCACTCTTCCAGGTTTGCTTGTGCTGTGGTTTTGTGACATCGTTTTGTTCAAGCAGACCGATCATCTGAGTATTTGTTGCGGTGCTGTTGCCTCGAAGGCAAGCCTCAATTGGTCGTGACAGCATAGTGCCAATCACAGTGTTTGGAGTTTCTACATGTCGTGGTTCTATCTCGGATAGCAGTGAACGGACATCTTCACGCTTGTTTCGCAGGCAACTGCGTTGGGTGTGGAAGGTCTCCCCACAGTAATCTTTTATAAGCACGGCTGGACACTCAGAGTTTCGCACATGTTTGTGGTAAGCGACCATCTCGTGCGACCAAGGTGTGGAGACAGGTCGGTTTGAAGGATCTGTGAGCCTGTCCCAACTGGAGGATGCAGCTGCTGCAGCGCTGGGAATGGTGGAGCTCTTAGGCTCCCCATAAGGATTCCGACGGTTCTGAACCGCTGATTGATTCCGCTTTCAATGAGCCGTGATGTGCATCAGACGACACGGGACTGGCTACGGAAGTCAGCAGCTTGGAGGACTTCCGTGCTGTGTGATTGTTAATGCCAGTGCTTCCATGTTCCTCATGACGATATATTTGGATAGCAGTACAAGCTACAGGTGGAATGTGGCTGAAGCTTTGCATTGAAGGATGATTAAGTTTGCGGTTGAGCAGATACAGGGAGCAATGCTGTCCTTAGGAGTTCCCTCAACCTGTGCAGCATGTTTTGCCAGGAATTGGAGCTTACCGTGCAAATGGAAGATGTTCTCATGCTTGGTGTCCTCGGCAGTGGACCCTGTGGGGAAGCATTGCAGAATTCTTGTCATCGATTGTGTTTTTACTTTTGCTGGTGCAGTATGAACTTCTGAAGTTCTTCCTTTGAACAGCGGCTCATCTGCTACATGCCAGTTAGGCCACTGTAACTGCAACTTGCTTGTTTTATATAGCACCACACAGCCCCATTACCCGGACAGAATCTTTTTAGCCGGGTGCGTGCCACCAAGCTGGACAATGCTGAGCTGCACATCCAACAATCTTGTTCCGCAATGGACTGGGCTCGGCCGCAGCTGTTCCGTGGTGCTGCCAAATCCCTGTTCCCCACCAACTGGACGCTTTCCTCGACACTTGCTTTCAGAATTATTGCCTATCTTTGGCCAATAAACGAGCCGGAGAGGGCTGTTGCCCAGCAGATGTCCTACAAGTAGCAAGTTGGGTCTGCTGATAACATTCCGGCGGGACTATGGTCACCACGTGTGCAACTGAAAGATAATCGCAGCAGCCCTGCAGTAACCTCGCACTTCTGTTGTGTTCTATTTCCAGGACGAGAAACCCCCGAACAGCAATTTCAGCAAACGATGCCGTGAAACTAACCTTCGCACGTAGCCTTGGTAGCGAACTCCGACTGTCGCCTTTTTAGGGCCGTTGATCCAACTGTAGGGATGCCACCAAGTCCATTCGAGAGCCTGTCGAGAGCTATCCTGCACTTTGCGCTTTGCAGCCCGTTCGAGTCAGAGACGACAGGTCCTATAAGGACATGGATACAGGTGGGATCAAAATAAGGTGCATCATCTTCACAAATGGGATATACCGGTGTCGTAAAGAATTCTGGCGAATCAGCGGCAAGCATTTGCTAAAGGAACATATGCACGACTGAAACATGTCAGATCATCCCCACCGATTCGGAGGTCTGCCTCTCTTCGGCTGTGTTGCGAAGTTGTTATGACGAGTTGCATCCCAGCTCGCGGCAAACAATGGCCAAGCTTGCTGTTTGACAATACGGGCCCCGAAAGCTGCGTATACTTCCGACCATGCCGGCAGCAGCCACTGGCGAAATGCAGATTGAACTCTGGACTTGACACGCCGCATGGTTTCAAACCAAGCCTCACCCTCGACACGATACCAGCCGATGCATCTCATATTTTTCGATGCAGCAAGTCAATTTCTTCCAACTTTTTTGGTTATTCTTCCAAGACCAAACAATACCGTCGGTGTGATGACTGCAACAGTTGTAGACGACCTCTTATTGAAACGTGTCGATTGGTCAGAACTGTCAGAACACACCTGAACTTGTTGAACTTTCCCCAAGCTGTGTTGATACGGTGGGCAAGTTTGACAACAGCTTCTGCGAAGATCACCGGGGATGTTTCGTCCGAGGTACATGTATGCTTCAGTACCAGCGAGTGCTTGAACCATGTCGCCGTCAACGCCAATGTATGTAATGTTAGTTTCACTGGCGGTTATAGTAGTTCGGGTCTCCTCAGTGGTGAGCTCCAATCCAATGTTTGCCAAAACTGCTCTTCGTCTTTCCAACATGTGCACCAGTTCCTGGCATGTTTAAGTGTACAATATCCGCGTATCGGATGTTTGTCGAATGAAGTGGTGTGCTAATGTGAATGCCCTCGTGATGCAAACATGTTTGCCATTCGCGTGTGCAAGACTGGCGTTGAACAACAGCGGACTGATGATGGCGCCCTGCTTTTTTCACTTCGTCCGATACTGTATTGAATTTGCGATTGTCTGACACTGAATCCGTTTGTGAAGAGTACAATGGCTTTAACAATTTGAGATATCCTTCGGAGCCTCTCTGATGCCATAGGGCTCGAAACAGGGATGGATGATGTATCCGATCAAAAGCCTTTCGCAAATCGATGCTCGCACCCCAAATCTCGCAGTTATGCTCCAATGATCTGGCACAAACGTTGTCAATCACGCATACGGCATGCTCTACACCAGAGTGTAGCCGCAGTGTAGCCGAAAATTTGTTTGATCGAAGACTGTTGTAGATTCAGGACATGTTGTAGCCGCGCGCGCGTGTGTGTGTGTGTGTGTGTGTGTGTTTTATTTTCGAACAGGCTTTGCTCAACACCTTCAGCAAAGCAAACGGTCTCCAATTTGACGGTCCGGATCGGTCATGTTCTTCTGTCAACAGTGTGAACAGTGCATGCTGCCAAGACGGGTCCACATGTCCAGTTCGAAGCAAGTCGTTATACAACTCCCGCAGGTAATCACCTCATCTGCGACATTTCCAACTCCACACCTTGTGGGTCTGCAATCTGCAGTTCCGACTTTGTGGAAGGAGGGATGTTAAGAGTATGCGGCCGAACAGATAGCAGCCAGAGGCTTGCCAGCTTCAACAAAAAGGCGAGATGGTGTGAGGCAGCGCCAACGCGGGAATCTTTGTTCAGCATCAAGTCGGCAAGGAAGATGAAGTTGCAAACCCACGCCCAAGGATCGCAGACACTTACGCTGACGTGCATATAGCAGCAGGCACCTCAGCTTCCGTCTGTTCAGCTTTGACATCTGCGAGCTCTTTGCCAGCAGCAGGGTCTGCCAGTAAGGTTCAGCGGCTGCCTACCAAAGTGAGCCAACTTTGTAGGAGTGCCCCTCGAGCAGAAACTCTGCCGGTCAAGGAGTTCTTTGACGACATGCAAGCCGCTTCTCCGGATCGCCTATCATACTGGTCCAGCCAAGTTCTGTACGAGCCTCCCTTCGATTGTTTGCTCAATGACTTCCAGCGTCCTGACTTCCTGACGAAAGAAGTTGACTTTCTGACACGGTGGCGAAGTCTGCGATTTCTGGCGCCACCCTTGCTGCAATTCATTTTCTATTTTCGTTGGCTCTTCATTGGCCCCAAGGGGAGCTACTCGAGACTGCACCTGGATCCTGTTGGGAGTGCTGCATGGAATGCATGCTTGGAAGGCAGGAAGAGATTCGTGTTCCTTGAGCCCGAGCACTTGCACGACTTGCATGTTGATTTGAGCAATCCGGACCAGTTGCGCCACATCTACCCTGAGTACTTGAGTGATGCTTCGATTCTTCGCCACCCTTACCACGAATTGGTTTTGGACGCAGGTGATGTCGTGTATGCCCCACCAAGGTGGCCTCACTTCGTAGAGAATTTGGAGACTTCTGTATCTGTAACAGAGAACTTCGTCCGTTGTCATCCGGATCAGTTTGCGCATTTTGACTTTGCCTTGGCTAGTTCCGAGGACAGTTCGGCAGAGCTACCCGCACTGGAGAAACGGCGGTTGAAACGCTTCCGACGCATTATTAGATGTGCGGCTTCCTTTGACGGAATCTTGCAAGGCTGCAGTTAGTGCGAAGAAGAGCTCGGTGCAGACATGCATCCGACGTAGCAGTCGCACGGTGCGATTGCCAGAAAAGAGGGCTCGATCACAGCAGACATTGAACATCCTGCTGCATCAAGCTGGCTTCAAGTTGATGCAGGAACATGGGAGCAAGATTCCGCAGCCCTGGATGGTACACTGCAGCTTCTTCGCCGCCAGTTAGGTCAGCAACCGTGCTGCTCGTGGAAGTGTCCACTGCAGTGTCCGTCACAGGTGGGCAGATGCAGGTGCTGACGTTGGATGCCTCCAGCTTGCCAGGACAGAAGGGGCAAGCAAGTATGAAACACCTTGGAAGAGTGCAACGAGGAGTCGCCGAGAGTCTTCAGCTGGGCGACCTCCCAGCTGCTGCGCAGCTCTAACCAAGAAATGTCATGCAACGTCATTGTTTGCAGCGGGGTTTGTCATACATCACATGACGACAAGACCGACAGCATTCAATAAATCGCACCGAGGTTGTCATCTTTCAAGATGGGCAGAAGGTGATGCATTTGGAAGGGCGGGATGCTGCTGCAGCCAGTGTTGATGACCTTCAAGATGCCTTGGAAGATGTGGTTACGGTAAAGTCCTCAGGCTGTACGGTTTTGCCGCTGTCAGTCAATGTTCGTCATGGCAAGAAAGGCAAGCGACATGGATTGAGCTCTGAAGCGGCCTCCGGTAGCTGAAGCGGCTTCGGGCGTCACCAGCGACAAAAAAGTCGGGTGCTGACGAGAAGCAGTCATCTCGGGTTCCATACAGGCTTCAATGTTAACGCCCCACGATGTTGAGGTTGTGTTGTCAAATAAGCACTGTCGGGATTCCCAGTTTCAAAAGGGACTCATGCCCCCGGTCCACCAAGTCATTCCTGTCTGTCTTACAGGTTTTTCGGTTGTGAAAATCTAAAGATGAAGCACTCGAGAGAACACCTGTATACTTGCAGAGGAATGCAGCCGAAAGCAGTCTGTCTCAGCCTGCTTCAGCCTGCGGCTTCGTTTGTTTGCTCGGTATGCACCAGGCGAACAACATAGGCACTGTAGGGTTTCAGCGACCGGGGCGGGGCTTCGGGGTGTGGATATCCGGATTGGGGTGTGCAAATTGCATTTAATCTTCACAGAATCATTGCGTGAAAAAAAATATTGCATTAGTCGAGAGTGTTTGCTGCCAATTTGTGGAGAATTAGCCAGTCAGTGGCAACCTTCTGCTCGCTGGGGGTCTGCGAACCACTTGGCTGGCATCATGGGAGTCCCAGAAAACAAGGCTCTGGCATAAACAGAGTTGCAGGTCGCCTTGGTGTGGGGCTTCGGCAGGGGATTTGTTCAGAAATTTGGGTTTAGGTCTTCGGTTTTGGATGCTGGAGTTGTTCGAGATTTCCTTTCACGCCTGAAAAGGATAGCGGCTACAATGGTCAGCCCAGAACGCAGGGATGGTCCATAGTTGCAGGGTTGAGGTTTTTGGGCAAAGATGTGCGCAATGGCAGCTGCAGGTTATCGCTGCCTTTTTGGAACGCGGTAATTCGATTTCTACAAAGAGGTTTCCTTTCACATCTAAGGTGCGGATGTGGATAATACTGGTGCAACCTATATTTTTGCGTTTACTGGTACCTCTTGGTCGCTGTCGAATGTCGCTCGTCGCCAGCCACGCACCGGCTTGCTGTGTTGTTTGAGCAGTCGATTCTGCCGGTCTTGCTATAGGGCTTCAAAACCTCGACTGTGAGAGCATAAGTTTCGGCACGAATATACGACAAGAGAGCCTTAGTCTCAACACAACACACTCTTTATTACAAGCTAAAACCGAAGTAAAGCTAAACCTATGCCCAAAGAGGGTTTTCAGAACCAAGAGGGGGGCTTGGTTGTAGGGCATGTCGCAGTTGTCGGTAGAGTTCCGAAACGCCCAATGAAACTTCAGCGCCCTGTATAGGGGGGATGCTGGAGTGAGGCGTCTTCCTGCAATTTCCCATTGCCATGCAGCATGGCAGGATGCTATTCTCGGCATTCAGACATAAGCTTCGGGTTCAGAAGGGTGAGGTTGGGGCTAGGACACGGGGTTGAGGAAGGAGTTGTGGGAGTTAGAGGCTCGACATGCCACTGGAAAACGGGATTGGATATACGATTGGGGCCTCGTGATTCCGAACGTTTTGTGGGCTTGAGCTCGTCCTTCCGTCAAGGCTGATTAATGATTTCTTCAATCCCATACTGTTCTCGCAGGGCGCAGCCCATGTTACACAGCAGCCTTGCATAAACCAACCTGCAGCCAGAAATCCCGTGTCCTGTAAACCCTATAGAGGCTATAAATCCTGAGCCCAAACCCTCAACCTCAAACCCTTGTCCCTTGTCCCGACAAACACCCTAAATCCTAAGCCCCAAACCGTATAAACAAACCCTAAACCTTACTAAAAACCCTAAAACCCTAAACCCCAAACTTACTAAAGCCCCTAGGCCCTAAAAGCCCTAAACCCCAGACCTCATAGAACCCCTAAGCCCCAAACAGCTACCGAGGCTCTCTGCGCTGGATGTACGGCAACAGGTGCTCAAAACAAACCAGAGACTCCAATATCCCTTAATTAAGGAATATTCCTTAAATCCTCCTACTATAATTTGAGGAATATCCCTTCTTTAAGGGATATTGGAGTCTCTGGGAACCCTAAACCCTATAGATCCCTTTAAAAGGAACTCTTAAAGGAACCCTTGTAGATCCCCTTAAAGGGATATTGGAGTCTCTGGGAACCAGCTGGTGAGGCCAGGAGCTTCTGCGCCGCTGATGCCAGGGTTGATGCAGCGGCAGAGGCACCCGAACTCCGCTTTGGGATTTAGGGTTTAGGGTTCAGGGTTCCCCCTAAACCTCTTAAACCCTAGACTCTAAACCCCTTTCGGGGTTTAGGGTTTAGGCGGTTTGGGATTAAAGGCTCTTAGGGCTCTTAGGGCATTTGGGGCTGTTAGGGCTTTGATATGGGTGGTTGTCAACTACCCATATGGAGCTTGTAGAGACTCGGGCTTTTATATGGAGCTTGGAGAGTTTAGGGGTTTAGGGCTCTGGGGTTTTCCGTTCAGCTTCCTTAGGGCTCACTTTGAGGCTTAGGCCTCAGGGCTCATAGGGTTTCAGGTTTAGGGTTCGTAGGGTTGCAGCGTTCTAAGCCTCTAAAGTGTGGGGTTCAGGGCTTTTAGGGTTTATGGTAGCAAAGGATGAGAGGGGTCGTCCCTACGACCCTCGGCACTCCTGTGCTCTTTTCCTCTTGGCCCTGAAAGTGCCTTCAGATCAGCAGATGCATGTGATCGCAAACACTCCTTCTAAACTCTAAAAACTATTTGTACACCTTGGCCGATCGGTGCACAGGAGTAGAGTGAAGAACCAGAGTGGTAGCTGAGCATCGCGGAGAACGTCACCTTCACGAGGTAGGTGAGGAGCTGCTTTTGAACGAACGTGGCTCCGAAGTGCCAGGGATGATGGGATTTCCGGCACAAAGCAAGGGCAGATCATTGAGCAGCTGGCGGCGCTTGAGGTAGGAAGCGACGTCCTTGCATTGACCGGTGGCGCACGTCTGGTGGCCGATCAACCAACGCTTGTAGGACAGGGCATCCTTGGTAACATCTCTGGCCAGCTCAGCATACGAAGTATTACGACCCTTGTACTTCCCGAAGCCGATCACCGTGTCGCCCCACTGGATCATATTCGTGATACCCTCAGGGAAGTTGAGCGACGGGTCCGAGATCACCGGGGCATTCTCAGGCGTCGTTGGCGCACTTCCCAAAGACAGCGACGGTGACGCTGCTGCGGCTGGTGCATTCACAGGCTTAGGTGGAGGAGGTCCACGTGGAGGTCCGCGTGGATCCGAAGAGTTCGGGCCTCCTTCGATGTCAGTAAGACCCAACCAGCTCTCATCACCATCGGAGTCCATGAGATCACTCAGATCTCGCTGACGCTTGCATGCATCAGTCATGCCTTGGGCACCATCATTCACAGCCGCCCCGTTCCGGGCGGAGTAGTCGCGGTAGAGCTCCTGGACGGTGCTCCAGGTGCCGGCAGCTTGGTAATCACGGCGAAGTCCGCGAAACTCCTGGATGGCCTCGTTGCACATGTCGTGGAAGTCGCCCGTCATGATGGAGCGGGCGAGGATGCGGACGCCTTCGCGGCGTTCAGCACCATGGATTCCTTGGCCGACCCAGGCTAGCTCGGGATGCAGCTCGCTTGCTGGAGTGGTCTTGGCATTCTTGGCTGACTTGCGGGCCATGCTCACGCAGTACGGCACAAAGGCTGAGCTCAGTGGAAGCGCGAAGCACAAGAACACACTCGAGCACAAGGTGAAGGCATCAACCACTGATGCTCGCTATTATCACGGATCACATTCACTCATACATCTGACTCGGTTTGCACTGTACAATCACACGCACACAGCTGGAAGGACATTGTTGGGCTCATTGGTGCAGTATAACCCCACTAGCACCTAACTAAAACCCCGACCCTCGGGCACATCTTCAGCGGAATCTGCATGCTTGCCCTGGGCTAGGAGCTTGCGTCGCTCCTTTTCATCTGAACGCCACTGCAGGATGGTACCTTCTTCGGATATCTGGTAGGACCCTTGTCGAAGACAGGCTCGAAGCATGTCAAGGGCATCGGCAGACTCTTTTGTCATCGAATCTGCAACCATCCTATCGGTAGGCACCCACCTAAGGGACCCTTGGGTCTTCTGCAAACTTTCGCGGAGAATGACAATGTCTAGGGCGGTACGTTTCTCATCAAGTGTGGGAGCTGAACGAGACATGAGGTGATCATAAAGGCTCTTGCAGTCCGTAACGAACACACTCTTGCGCTTAGAAGCAACACTCCAAAAGGAACGCAGATGGCTGGGGCCGTCAATAGCTTCACTCAACAACAAGAGAGTCCACTCGGCCATGCCGGAAGCCGTAGCAAGGGCCTGGGCCTCTGCACTCAGAGTGGAACTGACCACTCTAGGAAGACGATAGCTCTTCCAATAGGCCGGAGACCACGGTGCCACTTGATCTTGATCTACCTCCTGACTGGTGAATCCTATGACATATCCAGCCTGTGTGGCACCATCTCTCCCATTTGCATATGCAGCATCGGAATGGCACAACACCGTGAGCTTATCAAGAGGAATGTTCTTGAAGGTCAGTGACAACTGCCGGTGCTGCCGAGCACGTCTCACGGCATTATTCGCGGCTAGAGCGTCATTTACTGTGGGTTTGGGAAATGACTGTTGGGAGAAAGAAACCTGAGTAGCTAAATCGGGCCTAGATTGCGATGACAACCAATTCAAGCTACCATTAATCGCCCTTAAGCACTTGATTTCATCATCAGTCAAGGGAGAATGCCGCTCCTGAGCACGGCGGCGTGTCATCCGCAGCGGGCGGATCTTGTCCACAAAGGACTCCTGCGTCAGAGTGATTTCGAAGGTTTGCGGGTCTTGGCGATACCTTGCACCGCAGAAGTCGCCGTCACCTAGACGCCACTTCCTAAATTCAAATCGACCCTTCAACATCTCCAGAGCCCTTTCATACTTATCTCCAAACCCTCCTGTAGCGCAATCATCAACGTGCACTCCGTAAATGCCGACGAGCTGACCTGCATGTCGCAGATAGTACAGGCACGGGTCCAAACGACTGCGCTCGAAGCCTGCTTCCTGAAGAGCCCGGTCCAACGTGCGTTGCCACGCCGATGGGGCATCATTCAGCCCGTAGACACGGCCCAGCACCTCAATCAGTGATCCCGGGGGAACTCCAGGGATACCGCCCGGAGGAAGGGAAGCATACAAGGGCTTGTATTCCTGTGGAAGGGCACCAGATGACAGAAAGGCACCCTTGATATCTCCCAAACGTAGCGTCCACCGCTTAGAGGCGAGTATTTGAAACAACATGGAGCGGCCTACCTGTGATAAGGTGGGTGACTGAAGGTCACCAGCCAAGGCCTTGGCCTGCAAATCTGGATCAAGATGGCCCTGAAGGCACCAGCGAGCCTTCATGCGGCGGGGGGCATCTTCTTCCTGTTTCCAAGTACATACGAACCTAGACCCCATTATGCGGTGACTTAGCTTTTCCCTAACGTCCGCAGCTTCCTGACCGAACACAATCCTAGCAGCATGCCGGCTCTCAATGGTGTTCCATTCGATAGTCTTTGCCTCATCGACGAGAGGCTGCACATCGAGAGGATTGCCCGTTGCTGGCACCTCTTTGGCAGATCGCTTGTTCATCTGGTTGATCACCAAGGTTTCGAAGGCAGCAGTTGACGAAAACAATTCCACAGCATTGGGCTGAACACACAAGGCTTCATCTCCCGGCAGCGGAACCTCAGACGCGGGAGCGGCTCGCTTCGGACTCGCCGCTTCGGGTGGCTCGGCTGACGCCTCCCGCTTGGTGCCACGAGTCATGGGATCATCGTGACCGCTCGCCGTCTCATCACTAGCAGAGGTCGTTTCAAGAGCTTGTGAAATCAGTTGGGGCACCACCTCTTGCATCATATCAGAAAAGTCATCGGGCAGCATTGCTTGAGGCCTCAAAAGCATAGGACTCGACTTAACCGAGACGCGACGACGAACTGGACCATAATCAGCATCACTAGTCCCTTGACTTCCAGACTCCCGGCCCTCGGTTGCACTCGGTGCGGCCTGCTGGCTGTCGGAAGCCGCAGCGCTCTCCTGTGGTGGCACATGTGCAGACACGTTGGGCTCTGGGATTGGAACTGCTGTGTGTTCACGCCTAAAGACCACTTGTGGGGGAACCGCGGGACTAGCTATCGACCCTCTATTGGCTGACTCGGTTGAGTCATCCACCTGCATTGGTTGAGCGGCCTCATCCGCAGCTCGTGGCGGGGCGCCGTCGGGCACCAAGTCGATATACTGCCTGCTTTGGAGGGCACCCGAATCGATCAGGTGCTTGATGCCTAGAAGCTCCAAATGAGGAGTGTCAGACAGACACTTCTCTTCGGATGTGGCCGGTCTAACTTGCTCGGGTGCACAACGGAAGATCTGTCTTTTATGCACGACAACAAGATTACGACCCACATGTCCTAGAACAACCGCAGGACCACACCAACGTCCACCAAACTCAACTACACCCTCTCTGCTCTTCTGCGTTCTCCAGTATGCTACTTGATCACCTGCGGCGAGAGCAAACACCTTCCGAGGCCTTGCGGCGAGGCTAAGCCGCAACGCTTTGGCATCCTGCAGCTGTATCACAGCTTGCCGAGCAGATTGCCGAATCGCCACAGCCTTGGCCACAGAGTCTTCGTGAAGAGGGGCCGTAGCCGGAACAATGCTCAATGGCTCATCTAGAAGGTTATGGGGGATTCTTGGATTACGCCCAAACACGAACTGGGCTGGGGTCATGCCATACACCTGAATCAGCTCATTCTTGCAGTGAGCTGCTTGCACGCACTCTAGCCACTCAGTTCTATTCTGTGGCGCGCAGTCAGCAATTACCTTTTCTAGGCAACGGTTAAACCAACCACCATGAACCTCAACCTTACCTAGCTGCCAGTGGGCCTCGGCTGCCGTGATAAGGACACTGGAGCCCGCAAGCTCCTGGGGATTTGTCATGGCGTCGCTGACATTTGTCTGCGCTGGGTCCATCACTATCTGCTCGGGCTGTCCTGCCCACGACACCCAACGCTCCAAGAAATTCTGTCTAAGCATAGCTGACGTCTCTCTAGATGGCAGAGGGACCATGATTTGAAAGCTACTCGCGTGATCCACGATGTTCAAGGCAGGAATTCGCTGATTCGCCTGCCACCCGGTCAAGTATTTGACATCGATACCAACTCGCTCGTTGAATCTGCTGACCCTTTCACCTTGGGCCGGCGGCGCAGATTCTGGCTTTCGCTGGGCTTTGCACACGTCACACTCAATCTGCTTTGCCATCTCGATGGCAGCTTGTGAAGCACCGCCGTGTTTCAACACACGACACAGAGCAGAAGGGGCAGGATGGCCCATGTTGTTGTGCAGACGAAGCAAACTCTCACGCATTTGATCCTCCTTCTGGCCGCTGAGTGCTTGCACACGCGCTGCGACCAGACACTCATGGTCAGTGCCGGTCTGAACAAGACAGATAGATGCTTGGGCAATCTCCTTGGTGACCCTAAGAACCGCTCTGACAAAACCCTTTGGGTACTTATCGGCGAACCGACTAACTAAGCCAACCCTAGGATGCCTGCCGTGCAGGGGAACGTGCTCTACATTAACTCCCTGATGGCTGCCACAGCATCTCCTCTGCAAGGAGCGCATGTTATCATGCGACACCAGCAGGCGCACGGATCTTCGAACAAAGGGTCCGTCAGGGATCTGCAGCCCATAGCTGCACAAGTCAACTTCAATCTCGGTCATCTGCTTTTGCAACTGCAACACACGTGGCAAGTTCCAAAAGTACGATCCCTTTGGCAGTTCAAACAGAACACGTCGGCCGGCTGCCAACTGTATCTGTGCAAGGTCCACGCAGAAATGCACAAACAGCTTGATGAGACCACGCTTGTGGGCAGCTTCTTGCTCGGACAACAATCCCCGACTTAGATGATACCAACCACCAGCGTACGTACAAGGTGGATTAAGGACCAACAAGCGAGGCTTGGACTCTTCCACAAGGGTGCGCATGGCAGCGCGGTCACGCGGTCTACGAAAATCCCAGCCGGTGTGCAAATCCGCTGCAACACATTCTAACCCCTTGATGGCTCCCACCTCAGCAAACTGAGATGAAGAGAAAACCTCAACGACATCTAACTTGGAACCAGCTGAAGCTTCCTTCTTGGAGACCTCACTAGCCTTCTTAGCTGCAGCTCTAAATTGCCTCCACTGGCGTGGGTTCCACTTCCTAGCATCAGGCATCAGAGGCGAAGGGGGTTTCGGAATCGCCTCGGTCACAGACTTAGCAACCGCATGTACCTCTGTATCCCCTTTGCTACCTAAGCTTTGCATCTGACACTCAGACAGGTGACCTGGATCCACACGCTGATCAGCTCCATCATCCTGGCTCTCGGTCTGCATGGCGACCTCGGGCTCAGCAGGCTCTCGATCTCGAAGGCCGGGCTCCTTGAACTCGGCGACGGGAACCACATACTGTCCGGCCTCATTCACGGTCAGTGGGATGGCGATCTTGTCTTCCATGATGTAGAGCTCGTCCTTGGCAAAGTCCATCACAGCCCCAAGCTTCTTCATGGCAGGGCGGCTCATCAAAAGAGGCGCGCGGCCAGCTATCACAGCGGCCCGAACCACACCGCGGCGGTGTGCCAGTTGCACTGGCATTTCCACGACTTGCGTGGACGTCTCCTGCTGGCCATTCCCATACCTGAAGGAGTTCACTTCTCGGATGGGGGCAGGTTGCGGCAGTCCTCGCTGATTCCAAATCGATCGGAATTGGCGAAGTGTCTCTTCGCCAACCACACTGCGCCCGCAACCTGAGTCTAGGACCGCATAGCCTGGGCTCGATACCAGGCACACCGGGATCTCGGCAGAGCGTCGCTGCCTCAGCTGCGACAGCATTGGAGAGGGAGACGGTGTCCTTTCCGGGCTCGGGATCGACGGCCTCACCTGCAAGCTGCAGATAAAGTGCTCGGTCTGCACCATGGCCGCGCCACTTGTAGAAGAGCTCGCCGCGCCGCCAGCTCCACTGGCACCATAGGCACTAGGCGGCGCCCGACATTCACGAGCCCAATGTCCCGTCTTGCCGCACCTCCGGCACTGTGTCCGCTTCTTCAGCTCTTCCACCTCCACACGGAAGCTTCGGCGCATGTCCTGCGCCTGTCCGAATTTCCGCGACTTCTGAAGCTGTGAGAGCTCCTTCCTTCGATCCTTCCAGGTGGTGGCGAGCACTTCCGCCACTTCGTCCTCCTGATACACCTCAGCTGAAGCGGGTTCCGCTCCCCCAGCATGCTCAGCCAGGAAGAGCTCCACGTCGTTAAAGCTCGCGTCCGCTTCCTCGGAGACGCCCTGGGGCTCGACCTCGGCCGTCTCGTACCACCAGTCCTCGTGCTCGGGCTCCACATAGTGATTCGCCATTGCGCGTCGGCGCGGAACAACGAACTCCGGAAAGCAGGACCGCATCGCTTGGGCCACCTCATCGAACTTGAGGGAGCCTGCGCAGCGAGCGAGCACCACGGCACGCTGCTCTTCGGTCATGCCGCTGCTGTTAAGCACGATCCACCCTCGCGCTTCTTCCGGAAACGACACACTCGCTTTCCTTTGACATCTGTCAAAGACCTCTCTGGCCCTTGAGCACCACGCCCTCACAGTTTCATTCTCCTTTGATCGCAGCAGAAAGACTTCGGAGACGTGTTCTCCGATCTCATCCGCTCGGTCCTTCTGGGGCCACCGCTGATCAAGCAACTTGAACAGCACTGCATCTCCATTCTCCTTCTGGTACTCCTCCGGCTTGAGATGTTCCACGACTTCCAGCGCTCGACCCTGCAAAAGGGTCCATATGAAGCTCCCACGGGCGTTGGCCGGGAGCTTGTCCATCACCATCATCTTGTTGAGCGCCCAGGACTTCCATCTCTGGTACTCCTTGTGATCGGTGTCGCCATCTCCAGAGAAGTACCTCAGCGAATGATTGTGACCGCCATCCATGGCGCCAGGATGCTAGGCTCTCTCCTGAGAGCGGTGCTGGAGCAGGCACGTTGACCTGCTCCGCTACCAATTATGGTAGCAAAGGATGAGAGGGGTCGTCCCTACGACCCTCGGCACTCCTGTGCTCTTTTCCTCTTGGCCCTGAAAGTGCCTTCAGATCAGCAGATGCATGTGATCGCAAACAGGGTTTAGGGTTCAGGGTGTAGGGTTCAGGGTTTGGGTTCTTGAGGTCGTCAAAGGGTGTCGACAAGGGTCTTGGGGTTTTGTGGCTGTGTTAAGGGCATCGGGTTTGCGGTACTGGGAAAAGGAGCCCTAAGCCCTAAACCATACCGTAAGGATCCGGCTGTTCTGAAATGCGGGCCGCCAGGGGCGTGCTGGGGCATCTTGCATTGTCAGGATCAGAAGTATACTGCATTCTACTAAAGACCCTATTCAAAACTGTTAAGGCCCCCAGTGGGAGTTTCAGAAGATCAGGCACTCCAGCAAACAGACCTTTCCAGAAAGAACAATCCTCATATGAATATCCGGCCTCAGCCCATATGAATAAGCGTGAGTGCAACCTACAAACCCTTACAATAACATCTCGTGTATATAGAACATCTCAGACCCCTTAGACGGGCCTCGGATTTTGGGAAGCTTATGTTTAGGCTCTTCTTTTGGTTCCTGTCTTGGTGCCGCTGAAGCTTCTGTCGCACAAAAAAAAACCCTTAGCCGAAACCTTAAAAGCAGCCCAAAACTACCCAAATAACCCTAAACCCTTAAACCCACAAGCCCTAAACAAAAAAAACTACACCCTAAACCCTAAACCCTGAAACCCCTAAGCCCTAAACCCCTCTAAACTCAAAACCGCTGCATCGGTAACCAGGCCTCAGGCAGCTGTGAGAGGCGACGAGGAGGAGCTCCGGTGTACCTGGGGCTCTTGAGCAGGTCGATTTAGGGTTTAGGCTTCAGGCTTTAGGGACGGGCTAGGGTTTGTTAGGTTTTAGCTTTAGGGTTAGGGTTTGTTAGGTTTTAGATTTGGGATTTTTGCGGTTTAGGGTTTCGGTTGGTTTGGGGAGAGTCAGCTCGTCTCCTCTCCTTGCTTTGAAGAAGCTGGGAAAGGGGGCTGTTGCTGTAACCGGGCTGCTGGACAACGAGGCCTGCTGCAAAAAAGGGGTTTAGCACCACAGGAGGCCTGGATGCAAAAGGGCTTAGTCAGTGGACTTGCCAACTGAAGCGCCCGGCCTCGACCCAAGCGGTCGTCCAGGGTGCACCGGGCGGGGAAGCGAAAACCCCACCCCAAGGCCACCCGGTCTCCAGTTGAATCGTTGTTGTTTTGTTTGCGGGGTACCTATGCAAATATCACGACACCACACAGCAAGGTTAGTGGTCTATGAAAACTACAGCAGGGTATCACAAAGCTGGAGCACGGATGCGTCCAGCTAGGCGACAGCATTTTGGTACCTGCATCTGGCCACCAAATGGGGGAATGCAGAGAAGCCACAAGCCACCGATATTCAAACATGTGCTTGGCACGTCGTAGTATCGGGCCAGCAGCAGGCTGGTGAGGAGTTTCAACGCTGACAGACCGTGAATTTTTGAAAGTACCGGTTTGAGGGGCAGAAATGACCGATATTCAATGCACTTAGCGGTTTCTGACGGTCTCAGTCTTGCAGAAACGGATGCAAGACGCTTTGGCTTGAAGTAGGAAAACGCGCATAGCCTGGGCTGGAGGATTGGGGGGTTTAGGTGGATGCCGGTGCCGACATAACCTTAGCCAACCACGCGGGCCCCACTGCCCGGATGCTGGCATTGCAAAGAGGCCGTGTCGAACTGAGGGCCGGTGCAGCCATGAATCCCGAGCCGAAAGAAGCACGCGACCACACTGCTTTTCCCAGGGCGGCATACCCAAAAGGCCGTGTTGATGACCAAATTCGTGCTGATGGCACACCACCAAAATGGGAAGGAGCAGGTCTCTCAGGTAGCTTACGGGAGTGGAGGTAGCACAAAGACAAATGTTCAAAGATGAGTATGACTTTGCTCCGGGTGTTTTCTGCAATGGCTGATGGTCCGTACCAGATGACCCATTGGAACGCACTGGGTACTGGGACCCTTAACAGAGAGATGCCCACAAAACGCGCCCTTCATATCGAGATCGTCCCAGTTTCGTTGCTCCAGACGCGCGGTGGGCCACATTCCTCCCACCTTCCTTGCCGGGCTTTCAGTATTTTCGTTTATGGCTTGTGGACTTGTGTGCTAGACCAGGTGCCCAACTTTTCGGTGTTTAGGGGTAGGGGTTTAGGGTGTGAAGGGTTTTGGGGGTTTACTGTTTTGGGGGTCTAGGGTTGCGGGTTTCGGGTCTATATGGTTTAGCTGGAGTTTAGGGAAGGTTTCAGGTTTAGTGCATGGGACTTGGGGTTACAGGTTTAGGGCAATTTAGCAAAGTGGTGTCAAGATTTTATGGTTGTTTCAAACAGGGCTTTTGTAAGATTCTGAGGGTGTTATTGTAGAAGGTTTTTGGTGAGGGGTTTAGGAACTTCGCTTGAGGTCACAAGTCATGTGCTTTTTGAGTATTTGGACCATGATGTGTTGTTGTTGAAGGACTACTGCAGACTTTGGATTCATGGATCGCCTTTTCGGATACTTCGTGGCATTCTCGTACCGGCGTTCTGTGTCCGACGTTTGCAATCTGCGTGGAGCGCTTAGGGCTTAGGAAGCGCAGGGCTCAGGTACTGCGGTGTGGGGTTGAGGTCCCAGAGAAGGGAACAGCAAGTGCCACGTGCAGAAGCCAGCAAAGGTGGCCTCCCTCATGTACTGATACTACAACATACCCTTAAAGACCAATTCCGGTGATTACCGGCCCTAGAATGAGCCCAAAACCCTGAAAGCCCCAAGGTCACCCTAAACCCTAAACCCGGAATGGAGGATGACGACAGCTCCATCCTCGAACGCTTCGGCAAGGACGTTTACTGGAAAATCGGGGTCTCGGAACTGTGGGGGTTACGGATTTTATAAGGCTCCCACAAGGGTGATATAAGGTTAAGGGTTTTGAAAGGGGCAGGGTTGAGTATAAGGGTTGTAGGGCTTTGCAGACTTTTTCTCCGAGATTTTTGTAACCAGGGATCAGGGGACATGCATGCTAGGTATGCCTCCGGGTCGAGGGTTCAGGGTATTGCAGTTGTCAGCATTTGTCGCCCTAATGGGCTTCGGGTTTAGGATTTCAGGAATTGCAGGGTTTGGACTTAGGCTTCACAGCTCGGGGTTTTGGGCTGCGGGTCTGGGGTTTATGAGATTTAGGGTTTACGGCACGGCTTGGGATTCAGGGTGCCCTGGGATTCGGATTTGTTTTCCTCCTGAGATCCCAAACTTGGAGGATGATGGGGCTTAGTAAGCAAGGTTATAAGTATCTTTTTAGGGTTATAAGTAGTTATAAGTGCAGTATGGTTACCCTAATGATGGCTTTAGTTGTGATGATGATCCTTTAACTGTGATTCTGCGCAGATGCTGGTATAGGCTGGGGTTCCTGGATCTCGGCTGTGAAGCGTTTGGCAGTGCAAGGGTTTAGGGTTAAGGGTTTTGGTTTACGGTTTAGGGTTTAGGGTTTAGGGTCAAGGTCTAAAGAAGCCCAGTGATCCATGTCAAGGATTTTGCCAACTCTGAAAGTCTTGACGAAACTCTCAGCCCTAGGCCCGAACACCTCCTCACCCCAAGATCCTCAAAGAACATGGATAAAGTTCGGAAATCCGTAAATCCGAAACCTTAGAATCCTTAAGACCTCAGAACCCCTTCAACCCCGAAAGCCCTAAACCTGCAACAGCCTGTTCAACTCTCGACACCTCTTCAAACCCGGCCAGAAAAGCCGAACCAGGCCTCAACATCCTTGAGCATCTCGTAGAAGCCTTAAAAGACCCTAAACCCTAAGCCCTCAACCCTAAACCCTAAACCTCTAAACCCTAAGCCTCTAAACCTCTAAACCTCTACCTGTCAAAAATCTGAAACCTGAAACCCAAAACCCTGAACCCGAAGCTCCCAAGCCTTGAACATCCCAAGAAGCTCTGGGGAGTGTACCGTAGGGGCCTTAATGAGTAGAATGGGGTTTTGGGGCCCAGTATATTATAACTAAAAAAGGAACCCCCAAGATCTTTGGCCGCTATAGTATGAATCAGGGGTCCACATTGCCGGTCCTGAGGCTTTTCGATTATACGTACAGTGTCACCACGCCGCAACCCGCTTGTCATGACTAAGGCCATTATGTCGCGCCTGTGGCGCTTTCCTTGAACCCTAAACCCTAAACATGCATCCCTAAACCCTAAACTTAAACAACCCTGAGATTAAGGCCCCCATAGTTTCGTCTAGTTTCGTCTGCATTAGGGTTCCTTTCAGGGTCCTTTCTATAAGGATGCCGTATTGTTTCGGGGACCTAATTTAGCGAACTGCCAATCTCCTACCAAAACCTGCTTTTTTTGGTGGGTCCCCCTCAATTCTATAACCTAAAAAACCCCAAGATCAAAGCCCCTTTTGTAACTACCCATTTTTCATCCTTTTTAAAACTATAGAAACCTTATAGAAACCCTTATCGATTCCTTGAAGGAGCCCTAAAAAGGGAACCGTCCAGGACCTCGTGGCCGAAGCAGCGGCTGGTCGCCTGGATACGGTTTTTGGCCGCGAGAAGGCCCACTGCCAAAGGTCGTTCTAGTAGGTATGGAGGCTGCTTCAAGGGTCTCAGCGATTTTTGGGTAGGGTTTAGGGTTTTTTGGAGCTTGGCGTGGGTTTTCTTTTCAGGCTTTTGTTTTGTATACTTTTGTGGGCCTGCTGTGGTCCTGTAGTCACAGCAAAGAACTGTCCCCCAGCCCGGCTTTTTCGGCTCTATACGACTACTAACTGTGCCATGTGAACCCTAAACCCTAAACCTTAAATCCTAAACCCTAAACCCTAAAGGCTCACTCACTTTCACTTATGTGAACCCGAAACTGATCTCCGGGTTTGAGTAAAGCTTTTGGGTTTGCAGCCAACGCCTCGGACCTTGGGCTGCAACTGTCGCCCTGAAGCCAAGAGACGCGTCGCAATCCTGCTCTTGAAAGAGGTTGAGTTTAGCAGCTCAGAGCCCAAATGATACTCAATAGGGCTTTCTTGCAACTTATGGCAGAGGTATGATAACGACGAGCTTACAAAGACATAGTTGTATTTGCAACTTTCTAAAGACGCTGTCATATTTGGACCAACCCTGCCTTTGCCGTCCCAGACCGTCTACATCCCAGAAAAGGGCAAGAAGATCTACTCGTTCAACGCTTTCTAAGCAAGCTTTCATGAACGAAGAGGGTGTTGAGGATTTTGTGTGGTTTCGGGTGTGTTGATGCTCTAAACCCGTTTGATAGTAGTATCTATGCAAGGGACTTAGTAGGAAATGCAGCTAGCCATAGCTCGATTACTTTTGTAGACCGAACTAGGTACTTCGAGCCTTATCATTGAGCTGATTCCCATGAACCTCTGACAACCTCTCTAAAGCCCTGTAGAAGCCTCTCTGAAGGGACAACACTCCTCTCACTACTTCCTCTGATCCTCTAGGAATTGGACTGTTTGGGCATGGTTGTATGGTAAGTTGTCAGCACATCATTGGGCCGAGAACCCAAACCCCAGCCGGTAATTCCAGGAGGTGCAGCGAGTGCTGAATGTTCTGGCGAGGCGGAACAAGCCCAATGTCGCAAGCCCAGTCGTGGGTAGTTTGTAGGGTTTAGGGTTTCGGGTCTCGTTGTCGGGTTTGGGATTTGAGGTTTAGTTTGTGAGGTTCAGGGTTTAGGGCATATGGTTTAGTTTCTAGGGTTTATGGTTTAGGATTCCGGTTTAGTTTGTAGGGTCTAGGGTTTAGTTTGTAGTCTTTAAAGTTTAAGGTTTAGGGTTTAGGGGCCTAACTGTGCACGTCGCCCGATCCTAGGGCTATGCCGCCCTGGCTCCGTGGTTCTGGGTTTTCAGGCTGTAAGACTGGGCAGCAGGCTACCCAGATCCCTTAATAAAGGAATATACCCTTCACTTATAGTAACTAAGTAGGATCTCTACTAGGATGTAAGGATTTTTCCTTAATTAAGGGATATTGGAGTCTTTGAGGAGCCGTTATAGCTATAACGCTCCATCAGTTTGCGGGTCAGTAGGTCATGTGGATGCAATGGGAACAGGCTATCAGTCTTACGAGCTGGGTTTGAGGTTTAGGGGCATCCGCCAAAAGGCCAATTCCTACAGCCTGAAGCCCTGCACCTTCAGCTTAACCCACAGCCTCGTGCGCCGGACAAACCCAAACCTCCAAGACAGCGACGCACACGCGATGAAACCCTGAACTGCGAGCCCCCACGCCCGAAATCCTTACTTGGAGGATCATGGGACTTAGTATGTAAGGTTATAAGTACCTTAATTGGGGTTATAAGCAGTTATAAGTATAGTTACTCTAGCAATAACATAAGTTTCTGAGCCCCTTGATCCTTTTTATCAGGATCGTAGACTGAAAAGCCCAATCCCCGAACCGTACACCCTTTGCCAAAACCCCAGAGCGCACTCAGGTTTGTTTGCTGGGCCCCCCCGGCGTGGGCAAAACAGCTTTGGTGGAGGAGGTCTGGCAATCGGCCAGCTGTTTCGTTTTTGGGGTTTAGGGTTCAGGGGATTGGGGGGTTTAAGCTTCAGTTTCTTTTGTAAATCGGGTTTGGTTGTACAGGGTTTGGGTTCCCTAAATGTCAGGATATAAAGCATGTTCTGACTACTGCCGTTGTATAGCTGTACTTGGTAGCCCCTTTTGGCACGAGGTGAGTAAAATAAGTAGCCTGTGCCTGCGGTGTGTGTGGTTTGAGGGTTAACCTAAACCCTTGCATGGTAGCGGAGCCGGACGTCTAAGGGACTCCGTGCTCACCTTCTGCGGGTCGCCCCGCGAAGGTAAGGGACGCGGGTAAGCCCCGCTCCCTGGTGGTTGCGGGTCAGCCCCGCACCACACGTGACCGCGGGAAGTCCCGCGTCACAGGAACCAGCTGCGGGCCGATCCGCGCTGGTGTGGGAGCATAGTCCTCCCGAGTGCTGCTTAGGCAGCAGGTAGACCGCCAAGACGGCGGGTCGAGGTCGCGGCAAAGGAAAGCCGGTGACCAAGAAGAAGAACAAGAGGGGGAAAAGAAGTGAAGCGGCCACCTCTAGGAGGCAGGACCGCGGGCAGGCCAGAAGGCTTGCAGCCGCTGAGGAGCGGCAGGAGCCACCAAGAAGCCACAGGGCAGCCGCTGATCCCTCGGCCCGGGGGTCAGCTGAGGCAAGGGGCCGAGGTCGTACTCCGAGGCGGGTGGTTCTAACTTATAGCCTGGAGGAGGCTCAGGAGCGAGACCGGATCCTCGGGACGACCGCGGCCAAGAGCCAACCAAGGAAGCCCAGGCAGACAGAGGCTGGGTACGAGAAGATCAAGTGGAAGAAGGAGAGGCGACGAAGGAAGGAAAGGAGCCGCCTCGACCTTCGATCGGTTCCTCGGGAGGCTCAGGCAAATCGGGTCCTGAGGTCGGTAGCGCCGACACGAAGCAAGCAGGCTTCGGGGCGCAAGAGGGACTTAGAGGAGTTCCTGACCGAGCAATCCGCTCGCTTTGCGCAGCAGAGGTTCCGAGAGAGAGTGGAGACCCAGGAGGCGATCAGGAAGAGGCTTCCTAAGGGCAGTGTGGGCGAGGTATTGCTTAGGCAGCGGGTCGGCGAAGCTTGCAGTACCTGCAGGACCAGGCGTCGCAAGGCCGCCCCGGCTGTGCGCAACTACGTGCTTAGGAGGTTTTCTCCTAAGGCATTGGCCCAAAGGGTTGCGGAGGCCAATCGGCACCGCACCGAGCCCCGACCAAAGGGGACCGCTCGAAAGAGCAAGGCCAAACCAAAGGCCACATCAGCTCCTCTCCTGACGGAGGAGGAGGAGAGCAGTGAGAGCTCGGATGGAGATGGAAGCGGGGTTGATTGGGACCCCCCAAGCCCCCCAGATGGCCCAACAGGCGGGCCAGGTTCCGCTGGAGCAACAGCTCCAGCAGCAGTTGCAGCAAACTAACCTGATGCTGCAGCAAATGAACAACAGGCTGGTGACTCAGGAGGCCCAGCTGTTGCAGCTGCAAGCGTCAGGATTGGCGGCCCGGGGAAGGCAGAGCACCTTCGATACCGACATGCCGGGCCCAAGCCATCCACCGGCCCCAAGGGCCGGCCTGGTAGACACCAGGCAACTCGGGAAGCCCGAGGTTTTCAAAGGGTCCACGGAGGAAAGCTTCAGTGATTGGTCGTTCATCTTTGAGTCTTACCTTAGCTGCATCGACTCGAGGTACATTGACCTGCTGGAGCAAGCAAAGTTTTCCAAGAAGAGCTTCCCAAACAGGGCTCTTTCGGATGTGGACCGGGACCTTTCTTGCCAACTCTATTATATCTTGGTGATGCTCCTGCGCGGTAGGCCGCTTGACATCACTTACAACACAGGCCTCGGAGAAGGTCTTGAATCCTACCGGCGCATCTTTGAGGAGTTCCACCCGAGGGTTGCGTCACGCTATGTGGGCACTCTCACAACGTTGCTTTCAAGCAAGTTTGGTGATGATGTTGAGGGGGACTTAGCGGCCTTCGAAAAGAGCGTCCGGAGGTATGAACAGGAGAGCGGCAAAACACTAGATGAGGAGATGCTTTTGGGCATTGTGGTGAATGGGCTAAAGGACAGCAGCCTGCAAAGCCACATCATCCGGAACTCAAGCCGGCTCAAATCCTTTACGGATGTGAAGGCGGAACTTTTGGAGATTTCGAGGACCAACCGCGTCCTGCAGAATCTCCCGCAGCCTATGGACCTTGGAGCTGCACCGTGGAAAAAGGGCAAAGAGAAGGGCAAGGGCAAAGACAAAGGCAAAGGCAAAGGCGACAAAGGGGGTAAAGGCCAAGGCTCAGACAAGCAAAAGCCCCAAGGCGCAAACCCCAACAAGGACCGTGAGTGTTGGTACTGCCATAAGAAAGGGCATGTAGAAGCCGAGTGTCGCAAGAAACAAGCCGATGCCAAAGCCAAGCCCAAAGCTAAAGCAAAAGGTGGCGGGAAGAACCGCACACCTCATGCGGCTAGCCCCGCTGAGGGCGAGGAGGAACCAGAGCCCATGTCTGCATCGCCTCAGGAGCCGGACCTTTGCTTTGGTGTGGTGGCGGCAACGCCCAGCACCGAGGCCAGTGAGACCGAGGTTCTTGTAGATACGGGGGCAGGGTCTCACCTGTTTCGGAAAGGGTTTGACTCCGGTGCTTTGTTGGGTTCTCGTGTTTCGGGGCCTGGAATGGTTACCGTTACGGGTGAGCCCTTGGCTAGCGACCAGAGGCTTAGGAGCCAGCTCGAAACCAGTGCTGGGACCTTTTCGGTAGAGTACGCCGAGTCTGAAAAGGTTAGGTTTTCGGTGCTTTCTGCTGGCCAAGCGGCCACGAAAGGCACCTGGACGGTGATTGGCCCCGGTGTGCAGTGTATGGTTCTAGATAAGCATGCGTGTAAGCTTAGGAAAGCCCTAGGAGAGACCAAAGACACGATGCAACTCAGAAAGAAGAGAGGGGTATTTTGGCTCCCAGTGAACGTGGTGAAAGAAAGTGAAAGGGTTGAAGACCCAGACGTGTTAGCAGCTACGAGGGCTGCTAAGAAGACGGTGCCAGCAAAGGCGCTGGCAGGTGAAGGCGAGGAGCCTGGTGAAGCGGGTGACTCCGCTCAGCCGGGCCAAAGCTCAAGTGCGGGCGGCCCCGCCGAGGCGGGGAGTTCCGCTGCGAACCCTGGTGCGGGTAACTCCGCCGGTGCAGGGAGTTCTACTGACGGCCCTGGCGCGGGTGGCCCCGCCCAGAGGCTTCCGGAGATTGGCGACGTGCCAATGGAAGTGTCTGAGGCCACGCGTCGGCCGAAGACAAAGAAGATCCCGGACACGGTTAGCAAAGCCGAGTTTGACGAGCATATGCTTACGCATCTGCCCATGCGAAGCTGGTGCGATCACTGCATGCACGGCAAGGTGCGTGAGGATGCGCACTCAGCTCGAGAGCCCAGCGGTCGCGCGTCGGAGGTGGCGCGCATCTCCCTGGACTACTGTTTTCTGGGACGGGCCTTGAAGGGCCCAGTGAGCTCCGTAGAGGAGGTCAAGGTGCCTCAGGATGAGAAGGATGGTCTCCTTCCCATTCTGGTGATCGTGGACGAAAAGTCCGGTTGTGTTTTCTCTGGTGTGGTGGCTAAGGGCGTTAACCCGTATGCCACTGGATTGGTGACTGAAGCGCTCAAGTTCTGCGGGCGCCAAAAGGTCATCATGATGAGCGATGCTGAGCATAGCATCCGGGCACTTGCTGAAAGTGCCGCCAAGTCCTGGACTGGCAGCGTGCAGCACCAGACTGCACCGAAAGGTTCTCACGCATCTAACGGCGCGGCCGAGCGAGCCATTTTGGAGCTGGCGCGTCAGGTGCGAACTCTTGCGAGCGCGCTGGAGAATCGCTACAAGAAGCCCCTGGAGACTGAGGGGGTTGTCTTTCCGTGGTTGGTGCGGCACGCAGGGTGGCTCATCTCCCGTTTCTTGGTGAAGCAGGACGGGAGAACACCTTACGAAAGGCTTCGAGGCCGGGACTTCCGCGGTGAAGTTGCTGAGTGCTGCGAGGTCGTGCACTACAAGCTTGACAAAGAGAAGACTGGCAAGCTGGACAAGCAAACGTCAGTTGGAGTTTGGCTAGGCAAGTCTCTTGCCTCCGACGAGCACTTCCTGGGCACTGCTCAGGGGATCCGTCGGTGCAGAAGCATCTGGCGAAGGCCAGAAGAGAAGAGGTGGGAGCTGAAACACCTCGAGGGGATGGTTGGGCTTCCCTGGCAACCGCGCGGAGAGCCAACCACCGTGCCTTCAGACAACAAGGCCCCAGCGACTCCAGGTCGCAGGCAGCCCTCGGTGTATATCACCTTGGAGCGTCAGATCAAGCACGGCAAGACACCTGGATGTCCTGGCTGTGAGTGTGATGACGACAACCCAAAGCGGCACAACGACGAGTGCCGTAAGAGGTTCGAGAAGTTGTACCCGAGGCAACCGGTGCCAGGAACGCCTGGTACACCAGTCCCTGGGACGCCTGCGGGACCCATGGAGACTGAAGGAGGTCAGGCCGAGATGCCCCAGGGCACCGGCCAAGACTTGGAGTCGGGAAGCACCGAGCCGAGTCAGCCTTCAAGGCCAAGGGCCATGGAGGGGACCTCTGAGGCTAAGTCAGGCCAGAAGCGAGAGGTTGAGGATGCGGGTGTCCCCGCTCCTTCAAGTGACAGCGGGCAGCGCCGCGTTACTGGAAAGAGCTCACAAGGAGCGAAGAAGCAGAAGACGCCAGAAGCAAGAGGTGAAAAGCGTCCTCTTGAGGACCAGGAGTTGATGGGGGGACTGCCCACGCTCCACGAGAAAGGCGAGTGGGAGCCTTTGTTTGCTTACCCTCTGGACGGCAGAGTGGAGGAGCTTGGTGCCTACGACGAGCGAACAGGCCAGCCCCTTCCCGTTGACAAGGTCAAGACTGCAAGAGGGCGCGAGCTGGACAAGATGGAGGAACACTCTGTCAAGAAGGACATCTCTTGGGAGGAGGCGCGACGGCAGGGCTAAAGATAGTCCGAAGCCGGTGGGTGGATGGTTGGAAACCATTGCCCAATGATCCAAATGGGGTGCGCAGCCGCTGCGTAGCCCAAGAGATCAACGACCACGAGCGCGACGACGTTTTCAGTGGAACACCGCCGTTGCGGACGCACCGCATGGTACTTTCAGCTGCAGCCACTGCAAAGGCTGGCAGGACCAACCGGCGCAAGCTTATTGCCCGGTATGATGTTTCTGTTGCCTTCTTTCATGCGGTGGCCACGGGCAAAATTGCGGTCGTCCCTCCGAAAGATCTCGATCAATCGAAGCTCTGGTACTTGCTCAAAGCCATGAATGGCACACGTGAGGCTTCGCGACAGTGGTCAAAGCGCGTGTGTGAGGTCATGACGGAGGCAGGTTTCTGGGAGGTTCCAGGAATCCCTGGCCTCTTCTACCACGACGAGTGGTGCGTGACCTTGAGCTGCCACGGCGACGACTTTATCGCTGAGGGCGAAAGCGACGATCTGGATCGACTGGATGCGCTGATGATGCAATCCTTTGAGAGCAAGATATTGCCACGGATTGGCCCTGAGGAGTTCGGAGGCCAGACCACGCATGGTGATCATCTGCACCGCATCATTCGATGGAGCGAGCGCGGGTTCACTTGGGAAGCTGATCCTAAGTACTCGCGGCAGATCGTTGAGGAGCTCGGGCTTACGGACGCTAAGAGCGCAGACGCCCCATGTTCTACGGAGTGTGGGAAAGGCCGCAGGGATCTCGAAGATCCTTTGGACGCTGAGGCTGCAGCGAAGTTCCGGAGACTCGCTGGTACCGCGCTTTACCTGTCCCAGGATCGCCCGACGATCCAGTATGCCTTGTCGGAGATCACCTCTGGCATGGCAAAGCCTACGGTTGAACACGAGCTCAAGCTCAAGCACCTAGGCCGTTACCTTCTGAAGTACCCGAAGGAAGTTTGGCACTACGAGTACCAGGAGCAGCCTGAGGAAGCTGTGGTGCTTACGGACTCGGACTGGGGAGCGTGCAAGCGCACGCGCAAGTCTATGTCCAGCTACGCTGAGAGATTTGGGAAGCATCTCATCGATGCTTCGTGTGCCAAGCAATCGGTGATAGCGCTCAGCTCTGGAGAGGCTGAGTTTTACGCGTTGGTGCGAGGAGCTGCCGCCGGACTGCTGACAGCGCAGATCTGGGAACGGATTGGGTTTAAGGGTTTGAAGCTTACCCTGAGAACCGATTCGAGCGCAGCGAAGGGAATCGCGACACGCAAGGGCTCGGGCAAGGTGAAGCACTTGTCCATGAAGGAGCTTTGGATACAGGACTGTGTTCAGAGAAAGCAGCTTACGGTGCAGAAGGAACCTACGAAGAGTAACTGGGCCGACTTGGGCACGAAAGCTCTTTCAGGCTCAAGAGTGACAGAGCTAGTCAAGGGCATGCCTCTCACAAGGGGCTTGGTCATGGCGTGCCTGTTCGCGTCCTTTGGCGTGGCTACGGGGCAGCCGAAGGAGCGCCAGCTCGAGACTGAAGACGTTTCCTTCTTCATCTACATGCTGATCATCCATATCTTGGCGATCCAGACCATTTGGCGTTGGATCAAGTTTGCGCTTGTGTGGTGGACCACGCCACGTGTTTCAACGAAGCCGGCCCCTACAGCTGGAGGCCGCGTGGACCGACGAGGTCTAGAGGCGAATGCGGGTAGCCCCGTCTACGTCACCCGTAAGGGCAAGAAGTTTCATAGGAGACACTGTAGACACCTGGGCCAAAACCCGTACACGTTGCAGAGGGCTGAGGCTACGCAAAGAAGCTTTGGTCCTTGTACAGACTGCAACCCGTGAGTAGTGCAGGTCAGCTGTCCAGCTCAAGGATTCAGCTGGCCATGGAGGGGTGTCAGGATATAAAGCATGTTCTGACTACTGCCGTTGTATAGCTGTACTTGGTAGCCCCTTTTGGCACGAGGTGAGTAAAATAAGTAGCCTGTGCCTGCGGTGTGTGTGGTTTGAGGGTTAACCTAAACCCTTGCACTAAACCTAAACCCGACGACAAGCGCGGAAGCCTAAACCCCAAACCTGTAGGGCTGGGTCGTCGTCTGTGGGGCTGAGGGTTTAGGATTTAAGGTGGTCTTTTGATTTTGAGTCGTCGTGGTTCCGGGGACTAAGACCGACTTTGTATCTTTGAGATCGACTTTATTTCTTTTGACCACTATTCGGCGGCAAGGAATTTTGAAACTTTCTAGCGGGTTCCGATCGCGGCCTTTCCCGAAGGAGCATCTGTTGTACAAGTGGAGCAATGATTGTGCTCTCGACCATTTCTTGGCTTCCCTGCACACCTGGTGCTGATGAAGAATACGCGTACCTTGAAGAAAAGCCAGGGTGGGAGGATTTTTCTGTTGATATATAAATCCTGCACTACCTTCATGGCCTTAAACTATGGGAATTATGGTATATTACAAAGGCCGCTTCGCAGTTATGTTGGCCACCGAAGGGAAGGAGCAGGCAAAATCGTCCAATCGGGTGGACTTTGAAAACAAAGTCTCATTTTGGAGCAGACTTCTCCGGCGCCAGCTGTATGGAGGGAACCCGCAAGCTCACCAATTAGAAATGGTGGGTTCTTGTACAAAGCGGACCCAGGCTTTGTCGGCAATGCTAGAGGGGAGGCCTTGGAATCTTAAGCCTCGCATCCCAAATCCTGATCCCCATATCCCAAAATCCTCAACCCTGAACCCAGTGGACCTCGAGCAAGGAGGCGAAGAAGGATCCCCGACCTAAATTCAAAACTCCCAAACTCTATCTAACCCATAGACCGCAAAGCTTAAACCTTATCCGAACGCGAACGCCCACATGCAAATGAGCCCCCTAAACCTCACATAAAGCCTAATCTATAAACTCTAAAACCCTGCAGTTGGAAAAGGCATTCAAAAAAATGACCCTTAACACCGAAATTCTTCAACAAAAAACACCGAACTCCGAACTCCCGAAGAGAGGTTGCAAGGCGAATCCACCTGCGAGAGGGCATTCCGAGGCCTGCTTCGTGGGATCCAGGATTTCAGAGTTTAGGGGTTTAAGGTTTAGGGGCTATAGGGGTTTAGGATTTCAGGGTTTCGGGGTTTAAGGTTTAGGGGCTTTAGGGGTTTAGGATTCGGGGTTTGGGGAAGCTTGCGTCGAATTGCACCCGCGTACCCCGAGCCTAATCCTTTCAGGCAAAAATGTAGTCAATGTAGTCCGAAAACTCAGCCTGAACACTGACGCCCGAGGTTGAGCTCCATCAGGCCCTATCCGCCCTATCCTAAATGCGGTCGTGCGTTGTGGATAAAGTGCGCAAACCTGGCCTTAATATCAGTCCTCTTTCATCTGCAGCTGTGGGTACAGTGCAACCCGAGACCGAATCACTACCCCCCGTGACATGCAGCTATGGGTACAGTGCACAAAGCCGGACCCACAACTTCATTCTAAATACGGCTGACCTGAGCTACACTCATGACCCTATCATGTCGTATATGCGGCTGTGGTCCTTAGGGTAATGCAGCATTTATATCATCCACCGAAGGACCTAGGTCTTCAACCATCAACCCAAGACCCCAAACTACTTGCCCCCCCCAACCCTCAAATCGCGACCTGGCTTTCGGAGTTTCGTAGGCAGTATACCCTAAACCGCAAAGCCAAAGAAGCACATCATACCCCCGAAATCCCTGCCAGCCCTAAGTCGTACATCCTGCACCCGAAAATCAGCCTCCTAGACCTCACATTGCCAAACCCCACACCCTGAACCCCCAAAGTCTCGGACCAAGCGCCAAGCCTGGGTAATCCGAAACCCAGGTTTGTAGAGCCTGGGTAAATGTTAGGGTTTACATTCGGATTTGAGGGCGAGTTACAAAATCGCCATAGCATGTGGTGGCAGTCTCAGAAGTTGTTAATGGATCCTTCCATGGACCTGAAATAAAAGGATTCGATCAGAAGGATCTTTACCACCTGCTTTTCCGAGACCAGATTGGGGCGCTCTAAGCCTCTGAATCCTGCTGATCCTAAACCGTCTTGCCGAAACCCTGGAGCATAAAGAGTCAACTTCAAATCCTGAACCCGGAATCGCTAAAACTCAGAAATCCCCCTAAGCCCTAAACCCTACACCCCTAACCCCCTAAACCCCTAACCCCCTAAAGCCCTAAACCCCTAAGCCCTAAACCCCTAACCCTAACCCTATACACTAAACCCTACACCTTAAACCTTAAATCAGACGGAAAAGGGCCCATAAAAAAAAAAAAAACCTTAAACCAAGAACAAACCTACAGGACTTCGCCTTCTTGTCCGCTCTCACGAGCTCCCGGGCCGTGCCCGCGGCAACAAGTTCGTGACCGGCTTGGTATGGTAAGACTACCAAGAACACCCCTAAACCCTGAGCCCCAATACAAGGCCTCAATAAGTAGAATAGCGTTTTGGGGGTGTATTCTACGATAGTTATAGCACTTAGTCTGCCCGAAACTTAACCTCCAAAACCTACTTTTGTACAGGTACTTATTATGAACCCTCATGAGGAAGTTGAGGGACCCTAGAAACAAGTAGGCTTTGGTACCAGTAGGTCAAGGTAAGCCCTAAGCCCCAACCCTAAACCAGACGACGACGAATAAGTACGGATTCGGGTGGGGTTTCGAGTTCAGGGTTGAGGTTCTGTAGGGACCAGTGTGGGGTTCAGGGCTCGCGGCTTCTGCTTGAGGGTGTAGGTTAAGTACAATGTTCAGGATTTGGGCTGAGCATGTAGGCACAGAAAAGGGTTGTTCGTCTCGGGTTTAGGGATCAGGGTGTCGCTTTGGCACAGGGTCTGGGTTTCATTCAAATTTCAGCATTAGGGGTAAAGTGTAGAAGGTTCAAAGTGCCCCAACAGAAGCCCGAGCCTCATACTCCCCACTCCACGGCACAGTCAGCACCAAGCATTAAGCCTCACGTTAAATCCAACGCCATAAAAAGTCCTGAACAGCTACAGCCGTAAAGCCCCGAAACCCCCAAACCACACAGCCCCACAGCCCTAACGCTAAACTTACCTTTGGTTAGTAGGGAATGGAGGAATGGGGTACGATTGTAACTATTATTAGTACCATTCTTCCATTCCCTACTGACCAAAGGTAAGAAAAACCCCCAAACCCCGAACAACCCCACGTGAGCTCAGGCAGCCAGGCCGAGTTCAAGGGCCGAGGGTACGAATGGTGGCCCGACAGCGTTCATCCGAAGTGTTTTAAGGAGCATTGCTAATTATTACACAGTATTCATGATTACTATGATCATTGTTAGTATTACTAGTGTTTTAAGGAGTGTTTCTTAATTGTTACACAATAACAATGATTACTATGATCATTGTTAGTATTACTAGTGTTTTAAGGAGTGTTTCTTAATTATTACACAATAAAAATCATTACTATGATCACTGTTAGTATTACTATGATCCTAAGTACTATTGTTAATATGACTCTTAAGGAAGCCACAGAAGTTGACGAGATAGCGGTCCCGTTGGAATCTAAGCCGCACGCCACCAATCCCTGAACTGTAAACCCGAGTCGACCCAAAGCGCCGAAGCCTAACAGTTTTCTCCCAACCCCCGCCAAAAACCCACAATGATAGCCAGTATAGTGGCTCTTGTAGTAGCCCTTCGAGCCAACCTGTAGTAGCCCTTTCAAGGAATCCTAGAAGGAACCCAGTGTAGCATCTCTTTTTTAGCACCCCTGAGAGGAATCTGAAACAGGAAGCCTATTCTGATTCTGAAGGCGCATAAAGAGCGAACCTGAGACTCGAAGGTTTGTCTCGAACCCAAGAGACTCAAATCCTACACTCCGAACAACCCTTAGGGGGCATAGGGTTCAGGGTTTGGGGCTTGGGTTTAGCGTCTTGGGGCGTAGGGTTCAGGGTTTAGGCAGTTTAGGGTTTAGGTTTTGGGTTTAGGGTTTACGGTTTAGAGGTTTGGAGTCTAGGGCCGTGCCCTAAAATCTACAACCGTACACGCTAAAGTCCGATGTACCCTAAAAACGCGAGAGTCTAAACTTAAAGGCCTTCAGTGACCCTGCTATAGATCCCATCAGTCTAGGGTGCTGTTATGTAAGCGCATTTTTGTATCGCACAAAATCTTGCTCTAAGATAAAAAAGACCCATATCATGGAACCCTTACAGAACCCTTATAGCAGACCTTATAATAGCCCGTGTAGAGCTTCTTGCAGAATCCTGTGAAGAATCCCTAAAAAGCCACCAGCCCAGACAGGTGGCACCCCATGCTGTGCGCTGACAAAGATTCAGTGGACTCGCAGCCGCCTCCCACACTGGGAGCGGTTCGAAAAGGGTCCCACGGTAAGGATTTTAGAAGCTTTCAGCCAGAAGGGTTGTACAGTGCACGTCCGAGCAATCCCGAGCCCTATTCAGAACCTTATCCTGTACGCGCCTGGGTACAGTGCACAAACCTGAGCCCTAATCACAACTTTATTCTGAGTGCGGATGTGGGTACAGTGCGCAAACCCGAGCACTCCCGAGCCCTATATAACCTTATCCTGTACGCGGCTGTGGGTACAGTGCGCAAACCTGAGCCCTAATCATAATTCTATCCTAAATGCGGCTGTGGGTACAGTGCGCGAACCCGAGCAAGCCCGAGCCCTAATCTGCACGCGGCTGTGGGTACAGTGCGCAAACCCGAGCAAGCCCGAGCCCTACTCAGAACTTTATCCTGCACGCGGCTGCGGGTATAGTACACAGTGCACAAACCTGAGGCCTAATCAGAACTTTATCCTGCATGCGGCTGTGGGTACAGTGCGCAAACCTGAGCCCCAGTCACAACTTTATTTTCAATGCGGCTGGGGTTACGGTGCACAAACCTGAGTTTTAATTAGAACTATATCCTAAATGCGGCGGTGGG